TTGAGAAGGTTTTCCGGACCCAGAATTGGGTCCGTCGGAGCAAGCTGTTTTTGTAGATGGTTTTGTTTCTTGTTGGGGCAAGCGGGGTGCATATCGGTTGCTGCTTGAACCCACTTGAAAGTTAGCTTCTTATTCTTTCGTTGCGTCTGGTGGCTTGATTGTTTGCCGCTAAAAGAAGGTTCATCAGCCTTTTGCAGCCCTTAGGTGATTGCTTGAGGTGTTTCTTGGCGTTGCGGAGTTTGTGGGTTTTCGCGCAGGTGGCCGGCTTCCATTTAAATGATTGTATTGAATACTCTACTGCCCCTTGTTGGCCCCCCTTGCCCCTCTAGACTCCTACCGAAGTTTTCAGCCCAGAAAGAACATGAACCATGATCTTTTCAGTCAATCCCGTTATTAATTAATAGTATTAATTTAAAACGGGATGGAGTAGGAATCTTCTTAGGGAAAGATGTGGGAAAGTGAAGTATTGAAGGCTTTCTTACTCCGCCATCGTTTCGATATCGTGTCAATTACATTTGGCACTTGAATTAAAACATAGCACGGAGTAGCGGAGTAGCGCGGAGTAGCGAAGAATTGGTGAATGTTGCCTGGGTGGTGCTGCATCGCAAATCGCCACATTGGAGCTAGGGAACGGAGACAGCTGATACCACATGTGCGCTTTCAGGTTCCATTTCTGGGGCCGGAAAGTCAATTGAAATCAGGCTTCGCATGTGCGGGCCTCCTCTGTAGGTGCACGAAGCTCCGCTACCACGTGAAACTTTGCACCCTAAATTGTGTCCTTCTATGGTCATGATGAAGGATTCAGTTCTGTCTAGCGATGCCGCAACTTTTAGCCCCAAGTACAGTTCTTTGAACCAGTAGTCCTTGAGTAACATGAAAGAGAAGTGGGGTGACCTGGTTTCCAGGACGTGTCTGGCGGGCATTAGAAGGGCCACCAGCCACTCCGCGAAAAACTCAATTAGCTCAAGGTCGGCCAGGACATCCTTCACTGTGTTCAGGGCATTCTGGATTTCAGGGATCGGCACAGTGAGTTAGGATCCGGCTGGGCTCGGTATTTGAGGGATTCGTCATTGCCTTTGCTACGCGTGTCTTGTGCTTCCTCGTCTGGTGTTTGAGATGATTCAGTGGCTGTGGCTGCTGGGTGCCTTGAAAACCAAACAAAACCTGTCGCGATCAAAGTTACCCAAAGGCTTTTCCACAAATACACAAACGTGAATCAAACTTTCCGTGCTCTCTCGCTCAAATCACTCCAGACAACAAGCAACGCTTCAACACACACTCTGTTTCTCTCGCTCGGGCTTGAGCCAACGACTGTCGTTAGAACCAAGGAGTGGTTTTTGTGCAAACGGCAAACTGGAGTCTTGACAAAATTCCTACAAGTGATCCACTAAGGATCAAAAGCTTTCATTCGGTTCTTAAACTGAAATGTTTCCAAAAACTTAACTCTGGAATGAAACTGATGAAACAAAGTCAATGGCAGGCCCTTGGAGGTCCTGTTTTGAGCCTAAACACCTTCTTCGAACGAAATGCAACAACGTCAAACAAACCAATACCGAGTTGGCAAAAAAGACCCAAAAATCATATCAGTTTCAGGTGCCAAAAACGAACTTAAAATTTGTCCCATGTGCTTGCTTGTCTTGATCAGTACAATGTTTAGGTGTCGCAACTCATAACTTCGAGTTTTGATTTGGCGCCTTGAGCCTGCTTACACTCAGTTTTCCAATAGCCACGAATGGATGCCGTTCCACTTGAGAGAGACATGTCGGTCTGAGTGACTTGCAAGCCAACCAAGTATTTCAAGACCACCATAGCCTTTTATGTGGACTTTGATGCACATGTTGAGAGATACCGGAACAGACACTGGCACTGGGCACTCAGCTCGGAAATGGGCTCATACGGATCTTCTTCCAGATTCAACGCGTGTTGCAACACAGTGTCGAAGTCTTCATCAATGTCCAGATGTTTGATTTTGCGCATTTCTCCAAGCAAGCTGACAGGCGATCTCGTCGCGTAGTGGTATAATGCCCGTCGCAGGACCGTGCATAGACAGCTAGCCACGGATCCATTCCCCCCGGGTACGGGGCTGCGATCGTGACGTGGTAGACGAGTAAGTCTCAAGTACCGTAGACCCGCCGAAAGGCAACGGGCTCGGGCCAAAAAAAATTCTCCAAGCAAGCTGACACTGTCTGGACCATCACTGTTTGGCAACTTTGTTGGGAGACATCATACGCTCGAGTGGAGTATCATCCACCATCTCACGACCTGCCTCTGACTTTGGGGTCTGTGGCACCACATCGCCATGAGGAATTGGAATGTCACCAGTTTCAGAATGCAAACGCTTGAAAATTGTCACCTGTAGCATCATGTTCTGTGTCATGCTTGCCAGAATGATGTTGAAGGATCAGCACTTTGCATTCCTGAATCAGGAGCTTGTGCCCTTGATGCAGCTCCAGGTAAGCCATCGATGTCTTGTGCATGAACATGTGGTTGTTCACTAGCTTCTGGAGGGGTGTGTTGCAAAGCTCCCTGCCTCTGCCGATATGGCTTTAGCGTCAACATCCTCATATGGATGCGCTCTTGCGTAGTCGCGCGCCGCCTGTGCATCTTTGTCACCCACATTGAGAGTAGTGCCAACAGCAACTCCAGGAGGAAGAGAGGATCTCCTGGCGTAAATCAAACGATGTCCAAATTGGCATAGCCATACTCCCATAATGATGCTGTGGTTCCACCAAGCAATTCGAGTTGAAAAGAATCAGGAAATCTTCGAATGCTGCGAGTGATGAAAATTCCAGTTGGTGTGCCAAAGATGTGGCAGTCATTAGACATTGTCGCGCCGTTTCTCCATGCACGCAATGGAGAATCATGAGCGTGATCAACTGCAATTTTATCTGCATATGGGATGACACGATTTCTTTTTCTCCTTGGACTGTGGGCGATTCAGCTCAAAGGCTCAGTCCTTTGTAAATGCATAAACATTTTTTTTGAACAAGACAGTGAAAAAACTCCTAAGATCCAAGTCACCCTAACAAGATCCGGTGGCAATCATGCAACAACAACCACAGACAGCCAGCGGAAGGACGAAATGCAAATCCCCCAGCCAGATTTGCGCATCGTCCCAATGCACACAAACAAAAACAGCACGAACGGGGCCGGGTCCCAACGCAAACCAACATCACCGATGCCATTCCAACCTTGACTATTTCAAAAACCAAAGTTGTTCTCAACCACATCATCTCTGTTGCTGGACATACAGTGGCGTCCACAAGTTTGACTCTGCGCCTGGTGAATGCATAAGCCTTTGAATTGATTTTTTTCCAACCTGGCAGCAGTCAACGCAAAACACGTTCAAGATGAATGGCACGCACTGCCGGCATAGATGGAGTAAAGTGGCAACATCATCCTTAGAGATCATTCGAATGCAGCCTGAACACACAGTGAATTGTGCTTGAAATGCACAATGACAAACCTGTCATTTTTCACCAAGCAAATGGCATCATTTTGTGGGCAAGTGCCAGTAATGGACAGCTAATGTTTGCAGTCAACGGCTATGCACTAGCTTTTGAAATTGCTGCGTGGGGAATTGAGTCTTTTGAGGCCAGAAGCCTCAAGTATTCTGTAAAGAAGTCTAACCGACATCTTGATAGAAGTTAGGGCAGAGATTGAAGGTTTTCATGCAATGTTGGAAGCTTCTCTGCACAGCTGACAGACCTGAAGATCACGAAGGTGACCAGTTTCTTCGGAGGGCCTTCTGCTGACTTAAGGAAGTGCTCTGGAAAGCACTGTGAAGCTTCCCTTGTATTGCCACCCGTTCTAGCGAGAGGTCCAAAGGACCACACGTCACGTAGATCATGGCAATTTGGGCTCACTGCCTTTGTTGACTCTGCTGTGGAGCTACACCCGATTGGACTGTCCCGGAGTCATCCGTGTGGACAGTGAACTTCGAGGGCCCACGTCTCGTGGAAACGACCCATATCTTGGCTGACTGTCGTACCTGTGTACTTGCTGTGTGAAGCAAAGAAACCCTAAAAGTGTCGTACCTGTGTACTTACCGTAAGAAGCAAAGAAGCCCGAAAGGTGTCGTACCTGTGTGCTGCCTGTGTGAAGCAAAGAAGCCGGGTGTCGTACCTGTGTATTTCCTGTGTGAAGCAAAGAAAGCCTAAGGGGTCGTACCTGTGTGCTTCCTCTGTGAAGCAAAGAAACCCTTAAAGTAAAGGTGCCATACCTGTGTACTTGCTGGGTGAAGCAAAGAAGCCCTAAAGGTGTCGTACCTGTGTACTTCCTGGGTAAGGGAAAGACATCCGAAAGGTGTCCTACCTGTGTGCTTCCTGTGTGAAGCAAAGAAACCTAAAGGTGTCATATCTGTGCATTTTATTGTGTCTAGCAAAGAAACCCTAAAGGTGTCGTACCTGTGTACTTTCTGTGTGAAGCAAAGAAACCGTAAAGGTGTCGTACCCCGAAATTGTTTCATTCCTTACAATAGGAGTGGTGATGTAAGTGATTCGAATTTGTTGGTTGTAAATTGTAAGTGATTGCTGGTTGTGCAAGTGATTGGGTGTTGTAAGTGATGCGATTCTGGCGGGTGTAAGTGAGTGTGAAGCCGATCCCAATGATGAACATGCTTGGCTTGAGATAATTGCTGACGTTGACAAGGCTGGTTGAATTGACCTCCTCGTCAGCTAGTTGCTCAGTTGCCACGGGGTTTCCATTGCAGCAACGTGCGAAGATTCGAACGTGGTTCAGCATCAGCAATGTCGACCAAGCGTACTGGATTAGAGAAAGTCTCCGTGTTCAATCAGCTGTAGTTTTGTGCGTACATGGCTGTCTGGCTCGACGGATCAAGCCTTGGCGCGTTGCCTCGTCTAAAAGGGGCGGTCGTTTGTAAAGTTTGCATGCAAAACCAGAAGGCAGCCATGGCCTGTTTGACGTCTTTTCATTTCCCTTTGGTGCGAGTGGTAGCGTGACAATTTTTTTGCGCATCTGCCTTGCTCACATCGGCACCCATGGGCCCATGGGCTGGACTTTGCCTGGAACGCACTTTTGACGACTTTGCGGTGATGTGCGCGGAGCTGGAAAAATCCAATGTGACATGTTATGTACAAGGGCTGTTCAGGCTTCTTGGAAGTGACTGTGCAACAGAAGGCGGGGAAACTTGGAAAATATCCCAAAGAGACTACGCAAGACGAATTGTTGGACGCAGTTGCAAAACTTCTGGAGTGTGGCAGTTGCTTACATAAAGAGCTGGAACGTTTGTGTGAACGCGTGGTCTGGTTCAATTCATGTGTGTTTGGCCGGCTGATGAACCAGGCAGTCAGTGAAGATGATTTCAGTAGCGTGCAGATCCTAAGTGAAGATCAACAGAGCAAACGTTTGAAGATATCGAGGTCATTGTGCACTACTTGGTTGGTCTTCACTGACGGTTCTTGTGAGCCCACTGCAGAATGTAAAACAACCATCATTGGTGAAGTACTGGTCAGTCCTGGTGGATGTGCCGCTGCGGGTTTTGGCGACAGAGTGGATGACGACTTGCTGGTGAACCGGCTGGACGCTGGAGGGCTCAGCTCACCCAATTTACCGTAGGTTTTGCCAGTTTTGGCTGGAAAACCCAGCTGCGAGGATTTGGATACTCACAGGGAATAAGTGTAAACCCGAAAACGCAAATTTTGTAGATTTTTTTTGGCGTCGTTTGAGCATGCCTTGAGGTTGTTGAGCTGGTTTGGCAGAGCGCCCACTCATAGCAACGTTGCCGACGGACCGTTGGGTCTATACTTCCACCACCCTTGTTTGAAAAACAAAACAGTTGAAGCATCCATTCCAACACATTTCAACCTCTAGCAGATGTGACATGTGCCGCCAAGTAGGAACATGTACAGTCTGTCAGTTGTGACCGCAAACAAGTGGTTCCAAAGGTTGAAAGGGAACAGCGGCAAACCTTGAGAAATTCAGAAACATGCGCGACCACAGTGCCACGTTTATTTGTGTACAATTGCGTGCATGTAAAACCATATGTGACCAAGAGAAGGTTGAATTTCAATTTGCCTGTTTTCACTCCCGTTTGTAAAGTTGACACTGTGCATGTTGTGGCCCTCAAATCCTTCGCGTTCCTTCAAAAACGATTGGGCAGACGATGCCATACCAAACTCACAAATTTTTCAATCATGAGCTATGAGCAGTGTTTGTTTGTGGATACAACAAAAGCAAATGTATTCCTGTGTGTGCTTTGTCATCAAACATGTCCATCCCATGATGCACTGCGCACCATGTGCAAGCAGCGAAAACACGACCATGGCGGCCACGGTTCAATATATTGCGGCAGATACGACAAATTATTGGAATGGCGCAATGCGCAACAAGTTCTTGTATTTTCACAGAACCGTTTCCATTGTAAACTCAATTCAATTTGACCATTTGTTTCCACGTGTTGGCAATACCAATATCGTGTTTGCAGTTTTCTCACATTTGTCACATTTGGCATTGACAATGTGGCACCCACGCAATCTCGCAATCTGAACGCTGCCAACATTCACCTTCACATCTTGTCCCGATTCGTTGGCAAATGCATGATGGTCAAACGGTTCAGAATATGGCATTTTGAAAAAACACAAATGTTCTATGGTCAACGTTGTTGCTGCAATATGCTTGACCGGTCAACTTCGGGGAGCACAGACCTCAATGCGGGAACATGCCAAACCAGTTGGCATGATACCTTCCCAAAACCATAAAACAATGGAATTGCAACAACATTTTTGGTTTGGACATTTTGTTATATGTGAAAACCTTCATATTTTGTATCCATGCCAGTTTACGGGGCGTGGATTTTTTTTTTTTTTTCAGACCATGCCAATTTTTGCGGTCAGTCGTGCACAAATTTTTGGTATTTCCTTTTGACCAAAAATGTAATTTGTCGGTTTTACCATTTTCAACTTCATTTCGTGCATTTTGACCAATGTTTGGCAATCTTGGCACATGTATGTTTGGGGTTGTCGTGGGATCTTTGAAAACCTCGGTTGCGGATCCATGCCGTTTTGCTATCACATAAGTCACCGAATTATCAGTGTTAATGATGTTCAAACACGATGGGCTATCCAGTCAAAATATCCGTCGGTTGTGTGTTTTGTGCCTCATGAGCAAGCATGCATTTTTTGGCATGCTGCAGTGTCGTTGAACAGATCCGTATATTGTTCAATTTTCAATAATTTGGGCCTTGAGGGTTGTTGTCATTGTTTCGTGGTTGACCACTTGCGCTGTACACACCGAGGTGTGTTCTCAATATGAACTTGGATTCCTGTGGGATCGTGCCAGCATCCAAGCACAGGAATTGTGTCAATTCGCTGACTCCCAAAAAAATGAATTTCCAAACGACTTTTCAGGTCTTAGGGGCTTTCAAAAGTGTGGATCTTTTTGCCGTGGTGCCGGCAGAGGAGATTCCGTTGGATTCGGTAATTTTTTCTGAATTGAATAAAACAGTCAAACTCAATAGAACAGTTTGGAATGAATGGCAGCGTCCAACATGCAACGTTTTTGATGGTCACTCTCAGCTACGCAGACAAATCTTACGCACCATGCAGGACTGCCAAAAAACCAAGAGCACTGACCTTAATCGCAAATTTTTACTCGGGTGAAAACATGTGGGCAGGGGTAGCACGCAACCTTTTCTGCAGGAAAAAACCCGTTTGCATTTGAGGTCTTCTCCCGAATGCAACTCGGATTCTATGTATTCCTGCCGCGGCCTTTATGCACAAGTTGACATATAACTTTGAAATGGAAACAAAATTGAAAACTCCCCCAACCATTTTTTGATTTGGTTGGAGTCTTGTAGCTCGATGGGTTGGCTTATATGATTGATGTGCTTGATGCATTTCACCTCAGACAAACGAAGTTGGAGGCTCTCCCATGTCGTTTCTAAGGACCGGCCTTTCACAACTTCAGAAGAAACGTGGTTAGAAAATGGTCCAAAGCACCTGGCTCAAAAGGCCACCGTGAGATACATGGAGAGATACGGAGGAAAGTCATGGAGATGACATGGACATACAATCGTGGTGCAAAGGAGCAGCACGTGTTTGTTTTTTTGGACACTGTTTCTGGATTTTGTTGGATGAATGATGCCTCTTCCAAGCTGCACATACTTGGTGATATCTCGTGTCTTGGACACCAGTGAAGCGAACATTATGGTGTTCTCCATGTCTTTCTCCAGTCATGAGGCTACCCCATCTTGGCATGCTGAAACATGTTTAAACTTTAAGATATGGTTACATAATATGGTTGTCTTGGCACCTGCATTGACTGATTCTTGCGGTGCTGTACTTGGCTTGGCCATACCGCAAATTGCCAAGGATTTGCTGGGTCCGAGTCCCGGCCGGGCACAGGATTGGGTCTGAGGTCGTCCAAAGATAGGTAACATTTTCACCAACATTTTCATCAACATTTATATAGATATATATAGCAGAAAAAACAGAAAATACAATGATCAAAATGTGTTTCTGTGTCTCTGTACCTATCATTTGAAGCATATGCAGATTGCTGAACAGATAGGAAACATGCATATCTCTTGGTTGTAGTGTCTCAAACAACTAGAGATTTGTTTGCATACACAAAACGTGCAGATTTGGGGACCCTAAGATTGACAGTTTTCTAAGATCAAGATCATCCGAAGGTCGATGGAAAAATAGTGCAAATGGGTGTACATCAAACGAAGACCTAGAGTTCACGTTGCACATCTGAGGATTGCTAAACTGATGCCAGTTGGAGTCGCTTTTGAAGATTTGAGAGCCGGCGAGTTCACAGTTTAGCATTTTCACTCAAAAAAGGACTTCGAAGGACTTTCCATTGACTGAGGATCGAGAAAGATTTTTACTGCAACTCAGGCACCGAACCTAAGAGTTGTGTTGAAAGCTTCATGTCCGCTTTGGAAAACAAACAGAGCAACTGTGTGTGCTGCTAAGATATGCTTAGGCGATTCCGATTCGTTATTTCTTTTTTTTTTTGCCGTTTTGCGCACTTTTTGGATACGGTAGGATCTGGGTAATTTTGTGGTAAAACCTTAAGGCTTAAGCAGGCTCTTTCCGGTACTGGAACGAATGTAAGGATTTTATTTGTGGCATTGGCATTCCCTTTGTGGCCAGGTTGGTGCACCGCTGTGGGCAACTCGTGAGAGAACAAATTCAGGAGCCATGGCAAAGCTATGCAAAGCCATGCTCAGAGCAGTGCATTCCTTGCATTCGACAGTGTCATCATCTTGGCCAAGTCATCTTAGTCAACTTAGTCAACAGTGCATTCTCTGAGCCTGATCCCATAAGGCAGGCGCAAAGCGCGAAAGCCCAGACAGAACTGTGATCAGTGGCATAAACCCATACCATCCACATGCGACTGACTGAGACTTACCAACCGCTGCCTTTACAGTGTCACTCCTCGCACTTTCATAGTCTCATGACGTCCCAAGTCGAAGCATCAAAGCACATCACATTACCATCCATCCTCTATGATGCTGTATGCTTGTGCTAGGCCCAGCACAAGGGATGGTGAAGTAGAGTAAAGCAATGTAAAGCATACAGTGAAGTCACGTGAGGTACAAGTGGCTCCTGCGGTTACGAGCCGATGCCCTCTGGCGTCGCTTCCCAGATCCATTGCAACTGGAAGGAGAAGGTGCCAATCAAAGATGTCCTCAGATGTCCTTTGCACAAGTTTAGGCAGACAGATATATATATATAAATATATATATAAATATATATATATATAAATATATATATATATATAAATACATGATATACATAAGAATCTGAGATGATCTGAGCATCCTTGAGAGATCAGAGGAACCTTTTGAAGTACTATGGAATCCACCCTTCTCCACTGCAGCCTGTTTCCCTTTGGGTACACTTTTGAACCGCTTTGAGCCGAAAATGGCATCATAATCATAGCAAATCGCAGATCACGAAGGCAGTTTTGCGGAGTTACAAAACCAGGTCCACGAATCTGGCTGCCTTGGAGTCCAATTCTACAGTGGCAGGTTGGCTTCGACATTTGGGTAGCGGATAGCATTTTGATGCATTTTGGAACTAATTGTAACCGTTGTAACCCTGTGATCTCTCACTTTTCTCCCTCTCTTGCCTACATGACATGGTGGTATTGGTTTTCACTGAGTTTTCACTTCCAATTGCATGCGAAAAAGTGACAAGAAAAGCGGCAGGGTTTTGCTGACAACTTTGCGATGGGTCCGTGCAGCACTGAGACAAGAAATGGTTTGTGTCAGTTCCTAAAAAGTCTTAGGAGATGTAGGAGGGGCAAGCAGGGAGTACAGAGGGATGCAGAGGGAGTGAGAGAATCAATCAGGCATCCTATCAATGTCATCAGTTCTTTTTCTTTTATTGACCTTCAGATTCTGGGCTTGGAGACTGCATTCCTTGACACGACTGTGATCATGAACATTGATGAACAGCATGCTTAGAAGCCGAGACCATCGATGATGATGAAATACTTTGACTTCCGCAGCTACGTGCTGAATTCAAGGAGAGACCGTAGCATCCGAAGCCACCAACAAAGGACGAAGAAGGATGCACTCTTTTTCCCCACCTGCCAGGTGAGGGTTGTTAGATTTTATGTCAGTTGCCTCCTCCTCCTTCTCCTCCTCCTCCTCGTCCTCCTCGTCGTCCTCGTCGTCCTCGTCGTCCTCGTCGTCCTTGCTCAACTGCGACCCGCGATCCACAGTGTTCTCTGCCGGACCTCAACCACGACCATCCACGCCCAGTGTTCCCTGCCGGACCTCAACCACGACCATCCACGCCCAGTGTTCCCTGCCGGACCTCAACCACGACCATCCACGCCCAGTGTTCCCTGCCGGACCTCATCTGCGAGTATCCATGCCAAGTGTTCCCTGCCGGACCTCAACCGTGGGTATCCATGCCAAGTGTTCCCTTCCGGACCTCATGTAGGAAGATATGGGACAAAGAATGTGCAGAAGAAAGTTAGAAAGAATGTCAGAAAGAATGTCAGAAGATATGCCAGAAGATATGCCAGATAGAATGCCAAATAGAATGCCAGATAGAATGCCAGAAGATATGTCAAAATATATGCCAGAAGATATGCCAGATAGAATGCCAGATAGAATGCCAGATTATATGCCAGAAGATATGCCAGATAGAATTCCAGATAGAATGCCAGAAGATTTGCCAGAAGATATGCCAGATAGAATGCCAGAAGATATGCCAGATAGATATGTCAGAAGATATGCCAGAAGATATGCCAGAAGATATGCCAGAAGATATGTCAGAATATATGCCAGAAGATATGAGATAGCCAGAAGATATGTCAGATAGAGTGCCAGAAGATATGCCAGATAGAATGCCAGAAGATTTGCCAGATAGAATGCCAGAAGATATGCCAGAAGATATGCCAGATCACATGCCAGAAGATATGCCAGATAGAATGTCAAATAGAATGTCAGAAGATATGTCAGATAGAATGCCAGAAGATTTGCCAGTAAGAAAATGTATAAATGTCATGGTGGGGATCACACGAAGTAAAGTAATTGTGATTTTGAGCTTCTTCGGGATTTTTTTTGGATGCTCAGATGCGTTCTATATATATATATAAATAATTCCCACAAATGCAGACTTGCCTTCTTGAAATGTGACTAAGTCGACTAAGTCGACAATACCATTTATTGAGGCAAGGGCTCGCAAGTGAAAGCATATCATCAGGATGGAACTATCAGGCCTGTTTAATTTGCAGGAATTGGGATAACTTTGACTTCCCGCTGGGTGACAAGGTCTGAGGGCCCAGACTGAACGAAGAACACACGGTCTAAAAAGGGCCGAGTCAACCTTTTTGCCTGCGTGAATACTCTATTCTGGTACAGACGCCAGTGTGTTTATATACTGTATCTCAGTGCTTCTATTTCTAGAGATGAAGATGTGATTGAATGCTTGACTCAGATATCAAACCATCTTTGGTTTGTGCTTTTTGTTCCAAGAGGAGTCTGCTTTTGAGGTCGGACACAGAGTTTGGGCTCATGATTGCCTTGTGCCAAGTTCACACCAGCTCTTGTGATGTACGAACCAAGAAAGAAGGACTGCGCAGGACTCAACTCCTGCTACGTCTGCTACGTATTTGGCAATTCTGCATTCACTACACTACGATTGTTAATCAGAATTGCTTGCAAATGAGATGATTTAGGCAACTACCCAGAGCTGATTCTGGAGAGGCCAGGGCTGATGGCTGGGACGGGAGAGACTTGCCAGTGTGACCAGTCTCGCAGTCCGAAAGTTTCGCTTTGCCTCTTTTGGTTTCCACATATTGCACTACCTGGCGCCCAGATATTTTGGAGAAGAGCATGTACCAGTGAGATACAGCAGAGACATTTGCTTTGTGCCAGCCCCAGAAAGCAAGGATTCTTTGGGATTTGTCGCCTCCAATTTGCAGGCTTGCGGCGATTTAATAGTTTTAAACTGTTTTGGAAATCCCTGTTGTAAGCTCAAGTATGCAATTAAATTACAAGTAACTGGCAAACTTTGGCACTTCAAAATTTCGAAGCTGTTTGTGTGTGCGGTTGCCATGTGCAGCCCTTGACTGAGACACTCAAGGTTCGGCTGCGTGAGTGCAAAAGGCCTCCGTTTGAGGATCATTGCAAGCCCGCGGGCAACCCCAGTACTGTACCAGTACCCTCAGTAATCTGAGTAATCTCAGTGATCTCAATAATTAATCTTCTGTGATCTTTCAGATCTCTGTGATCTCTCAGATCTTGCAGATCTTTCAGATCTATTTAGAGCTCACTTTCAGTGTTCTGCTGCCACTTATCCCACGTGCTACGAGGCCTCGAAAGGCACTTTTGCTGACGATCTGCAGCCGTGGCGGCAGATGCACCTCCAGGGCCTCGAGGTGTGGCCTTGGATGGCCTTGTGATCAGTGACGCTAGGTGACGCTTTATGGCTTTATGCCTTTGGACTGCGACCATTGGTTGGAAGTTGTTTTTTCTCCAAGAAAACAGAAAAACGAATTGAAAGGGGTTCACCTTTTGCAACAGTTCCTGTGAAAAGGTTGCGTTTTGGCATCGAAGGAAACTGGCTTTCGTGTATGATCTTTGACACCTGGCCCAAAGCAAGGTCACGCCAGAGCAGACTTTCCCACCACACTATGAGCACGACCCAGTGAGCAGCCCAAGATTCCACAGAGAGAACGCAAAGCCTAAATGTGAACCCTCACAACAAAGCAATGGATTCTATTCTAAGTTGATTCAACATAAAAAACATTATATCCTAAGTGGTGTGTTGATTGAGTGGAAGCCTTGTGATGGAGCTGTGGAGGTGGCTTGATCGAATGGTGTTATGATAGAAGAATCCGGGCGAATCCGGCAGCTGCTGGGTGTGGACCACAGCAGGTGCTCGCTGCAAAGCTTGTCGAGTTCTTCCACGCGGAGCAGCGCCACACCGGAAGACCTTTGAAGGTGCTCTCAATCGCCAAGCTTCCGCACCTGTCACTGTGACAGATTCTCGTACAGATTCCAAGCAATCAAGGTGATGGAGAATCATCATGGATTAGTGATATCATATCTATCAATCTATCTATCTATCTATCTATCAATCTATCAATCTATCAATCTATCTATCAATCTATCTATCAATCAATCTATCTATCTATCAATCTATCAATCTATCTATCAATCTATCAATCAATCTATCAATCTATCAATCTATCTATGATAGATTATATAGATAGACTGGATCGATTAGATAGTTTAGACAGATTAGAACAGATTAGATAGATAGATTAGATGGAAAAGATAGACAAGGTAGATAAGATAGATAAGATAGATAATATATGTATATATATATATATTATAAGATAGATATAGATAGATAATATATATATATATACAATTAAGAAACATAAGATAGATTAGATAGATTAGACATGTTAGATAGCTTAGATAATAGATTGTTTCTAAGCAACTGGATGGCACCGTGGCTGCTCAAGACGGATGGTATCTTTTGGTGACCTAGTTTGCTTTGCATCTCAGGCTGCACGTACCAACTTCTACGGTCTTGCCTGCCCCTTTTACTGTTCTCAACCTGGTCTTGGTGCCCTGCTTTCCTCATTCCTTGCTGGGCTTGGACTTGGATTTGCACTTGCTGCATATCTTGCTTGGTCCCTTTTCTGCTTCTGGCATCTCTCCCGGGGTTCCGTCCCAGGCTCTTCTGAGGGATCCTCCCCTTCTGACCAAAGGGGGCTGAGGCTTGCAAGATATTTGGATGAGCCATCGGGCTACCAGCAACGACGATGAGATCATTGAGTTGTCGTGCAAGCTGAGGCGACTTCAGATTACAGTCGAAGGGCCTGCTGCTGAAGCTACTGAGTTCCCGGCTCTTGTCGCCCCAGGATCCTCTGCTGGCCCCAGGGCCCCACCCAGCACCTCAGATCGCTCCTTTGAAGTGGTCAGCAGTGCTGCATCAGAAGTTGTCGCTCCTCGATTTCCAGAACATCGTCATCAGATTGCTGCCAGCTTTGACTCTTGCCCTGTGTGTTTGCTGGACTTGGCTAGTCGTTTTCCAGGTGGTCGTCACCGTTCTTGCAGCATCTCTTCTGAGGGCAGGATTGAGAGAGCGTAGTTGGCAGGGCTGGGCTCGTGCTGTGCTCGATCAGCGAGTCAAAATCATCTTCCCAAAACTGAAGATCTGATGCTCCAAAATGCAACCCCTCTCAGGAAATCAGCGCGCGGACCTCCTAACGTCTCTGATAAACATGTCTCTTGTACTGCGCCTGCCACGGAAAATGCATCTCTGCAGATCCTCTTCAAATGTCCCACGCCTTCCATCGTTTTTGGAAATGCTACAAAACCCTCACGTTTTGCTCACTTTTGACAAGGTGCACAACCCCATGCGCCTGCCACACGAAACGACATCTGAACGTCAAAAAGTTTTCCGAACATGTGGTGTTTTGTACATTTTGACTTCGAAATGTGCAGGTCGATGTCGCCAAGTGCCACGACTGCCGTGCAGAATGCTGTGTGTCACTGTGTGTGAACGAGTTCTGTGTGAGTAAGTTGTGTGTGAGTCACTTGTGTGTGTATGAGTTGTGTGTGAGTAAGTTGTGTGTGAGTAAGTTGTGTGTGTGAGAGTTGTGTGCGAGTAAGTTGTGTGTGAGTAAGTTGTGTGTGTGAGAGTTGTGTGTGAGTAAGTTGTGCGTGGCTGCGGTGGGAGGCAGGAGGCAGGAGGCAGGAGGAGCGGACCGGAGTGCGTAACCAAAAACAAGAACCCCACACAAATATGCGGGGAAAAAAGTAGAAGCCGGTGACCACAGCCTCCCGGTTGCAACAGCTCCCGAGAAGCAGAAAAGGATGGAGAATCAGCTCAATGAATGTGCCTATCTCAGCTTCCTGCCCTGTCTTGAGTCAACCTCTTTCTCATGTGGTCCCAGGACGCGGTTTGGGGCCCATTCATCATTACGTTTATGTTCATTTATATCTATTCAAGGAGATGGTGGCAGCAACCCCGATCGGGGGAACCCTGTGGTATCTTTTATGAGAGGAGTGGGTCGCCCGGCCCGCGGACCTGCCGCCGTACCGCGCTCCACAACAACCCCCGCGGCAGCGGGCCCGCTTGGAGGTGGAGCAGGTCACACTCCTGCTGGAGGCCGCATCTGATTTGATCCATCAAGGTTGTCCCCAGTTTCCGTCCCCTGGTTCCCTCTATAAAATGCACTTTCCTTTCACAGCATTGCCAATAAATAAGGGTAACATTTGCAAAGAATCTCTCCTATAAAATGCATCACTCATCTGCAACATCCTGCACCCCTCTATCATCTTCGATGCTGGGAAGGAAGATAAAATGATAAAAGCTGGAGCCCTGGAGGGGCATTTTATAGACGGCCAAGCAAGCTCCCTATCAGATGGGTCCCGGAACAGCATTTTTCCCGAATGCGTAGCAAGGGTTCCCGTTTCACTCTGGGGGTCTGGGGGTTCAGGGTGTGTTCGCTCGACGTTGCGTTTGTGGTCGCAACCGTTCGCAACCGTCCGCAACCGTCCGCAACCGTCCGTACGAACTCCGTATGGCCGTGCCTATGGGAAGTTCTGCAGAGGTGGTCATTTTTGGAGGTTTCCAATGTGTCGTTGTTTCGTTTCGCGTGGCAGGCGTGGCACTTCGTGACATTCAGACGTGTTCTGCAACGTGTCGAAAGTCGTTTTGCGTGGCAGGCGCAATACTTTTGCGACGTTTTCAGAAGATGTGTTGCAGTTTTCGTGGCAGGCGCAGCACTTTGGACGTGTCCATCGTCATTTTTCGTGGCAGGCGCAGCACTTTAGACGTGTGGCCTTGCATGTTTTTTGCAAATCGCATTGGCAGGGCTGCGTTAAATGGCGACAAGGTGCAAATTCCGTGGCAGGCGTGGCATTTTGTGCGATGTGTTGAAAATTGACGGAAGCCTGGCACGAAACATCGATTTTGAGGTTGCAAATTTTCAGATTCTAAGGAAAACTCGTAGGAAAACGTCGCTTTTGAAGCTACAAAGTGTGAAAAGTGGAGGAAGTCTCGCACGAAATGCTCGTTTTGGTGCTCCCACGTGTCTCGTCTCGAGTCTCTGGTTTTCCCGTGGCTTCGCCGTGTCTATGGGGGAAGCTGCAAAACCTGTCCTTTTGTCACGTTGCCAACTGTGAAAATTGCCGGAAGTCTCGTACGAAATGCTGGTTTTTCTGCATCCACGTGTCTTGTCTCGAGTCGCTGGTTTTCCTGTGGCATCGCCGTGTCTATGGGGGAAGCTGGAAAACATCTCCTATTCGAATGTGTCCAAGCAGGTTGTCATGTCGTTTTGCGTGGCAGCCGTGGCACTTTGTGACATTCCAACCTGTTTGATAATGTGTCGAAAATGTCAAAATTGGAGGAAGTCTCGTACGAAATGCTGGTTTTTCTGCATCCACGTGTCTCGTCTCGAGTCGCTGGTTTTCCTGTGGCGTCGCCGTGTCTATAGGGGAAGCTGGAAAACATCTCCTATTCGAATGTGTCCAAGCAGGTTGTCATGTCGTTTTGCGTGGCAGCCGTGGCACTTTGTGACATTCCAACCTGTTTGATAACGTGTCAAAAAATCAACATTGGAGGAAGTCTCGCACGAAATGCTCGTTTTTTTGCACCCACGTGTCTCGTCTCGAGTCTCTGGTTTTCCTGTGGCGTCGCCGTGTCTATGGGGGAAGCTCCGCACTCCACACTCTACACTCTACACTCCACAATTTACACTTTAGACTCCACACTCCACACTTTACACTTTACACTCCTCACTCCACACTCTACACTCCACACTCCCCACTTTACACTCCACACTCTACACTTTCCACTCCACACTCCGCACTCCGCACTCCACACTTTACTGTACACTCCACACTCTACACTTTATACTTTACACTCCTCACTCCACACTCCACACTTTACACTCCCAACTTTACACACCACACTCCACACTCTACACACCACACTCTACACTTTCCACTCCAGACTCCACACTCTACACTTTACGCTCCCCACTCCACACCCCACACTTTACACTCCACACTTTACACTCCACACTTTACACTCCTCACTCCACACTTTACACTCCAGACTGCACACTTTACACTCCTCACTCCACACTCCACACTTTACACTCCTCACTCCACACTCCTCACTTTACACTCCACACTTCACACTTCACACTCCACACTTTCCACTCAACACTCCACACTCCACACTTTACACTCCACACTTTACACTCCATTACACTCCACACTTTACACTCCACACTCCACACTCTACACTCCACACTTTACACTCCAAACTCCACACTCTACACTTTACACTCTACACTATACACTCTACACTCCACACTTTACACTTTACACTCCACGCTTTCCACTTTACGCTCCTCACTCCACACTTTACACTCCACACTCCACACTCTACACTTTACACTCCACACTCCACACTCTACACTCGACACTTTACACTCCACACTCGACACACCACACTCTACACTTTCTACTCCACACTCCACACGCTACACTCTACACTCCACACTCTACACTTTACACTCTACACTTTACACTCTACACTTCACACTCTACAATTTACAAACTCCACACTCCTCACTCCACACTTTACACTCCTCACTTCACACTCCACACTCCTCACTCCACACTTTACACTCCTCACTTTACACTCCACACTCCACACTTTGCACTTTGCACTTTACACTCCTCACTCCACTCTCTACACTCCACACTCCACACACTACACTCCACACTCTACACTTTACACTCCATACTCCACACTCTACACTTTACACTCCGCATTCCACACTTTACACACTCTACACTCCCCACTCCACACTTTACACTCCACACTCCTTACTTCAGACTCAACACTCCACACTCGACACTTTTCACTCCACACTGCAGACTGGTAACAAGGGAAACATGTACAAGACTGTTCAAATAAACTATTGCAGAAAGGTATTGTGCGTGACTGCAAAACCATGTGTTTTGACATCTGTACCATTAACATACGTGTGAGCATTCGGGTTCGTGGGCTTCATCTTGTTTAGACGTAAAGCATATGCACTTTCTAGAGGATTAACCAACGGGTATGTATGCAGGATGGCTGGGCGGCCTGTATCCCCCAGCTCTTGGACGTCGACTGCCGCCTGAGCAGGGAACTTGGCTCGGGGATCTACGTTGTGCTGTGGCTTTGCAAGGCGTTGAAGCCGGGCCGCCTGCACCGTATGGGTGACGGCAACAACCCCCCTTGCCTCCAAGCCTTGTTCCAGGAAGATTTCCAACATGCATAATTGTATGCCTACCCCTTGAAGAAATTGCTCCAGGAAAATTATTCCAAACAAATATTCGATAACCTAGTTGATAACATTGGAAAATTCTTTTGAGGGATGGGTCATTCTTCTACACATGTGTGCGGGGCAGCCTGGAAAGAGCTTGGGTGTGGAGCAAGAATTCCAATCAGTTTTCAGGGAGTTAAAAGAAACACGAAGGATGAAGACACGCCCGATAACAATAATCCATCATGATCCCCCCCTTTAACATACCCTGGAATCAATAGGCTTTTGAAAGATAGGTTAGATAAACAAGATAGATAAGTTAAAATAGAAAGGATAGATAAGATTGAAAAGATAGACAAGATAGATAAGAAACAAAAGAACCAAAAAACATAAGATAGGTTAGATCGATAATATAGATAAGATGATTCGATCGATTGGATGGGTTACATAGATTAGAGACCGATTAGATAGATACGATATATTGGACAGATTAGAAAGATTAGCAAGATAGGATAGATTAGATAGATTAGATAGATCGGAGAGATTATATACATTAGATAGATTAGATCAATTAGGCAGAACATCCGATCACCTATCTAATCTATCTAATCCATCTAATCTATCTTATTTCTCTAATGTATCTAAGCTATCTTATTTATCTTATCTATCTTCTCTCTATCCATCTATCTGTCCGAACCTAACCTAACCTAACCTAACCTAATCTAATCTATCCCCGGATATCCTATGCTATGCTATGCCATGCTTTGTTTTTTCTATTGTGTTCTAATTCTAATTCTACTTCTAGTTCTAATTCTATTCTATACTATTCTATTCTATCTATCTATCTATTTATTTATCTGTATGTATGAATATTTCGTATGATTATTGGTAGTATTGAATTGACATAGATAGTACTGCCTGCCATGTTTTCCTTTGTGCAGAATCTGGGCCGGGCAGTGAAAAGCACCTGCAGTTGTTAACCAGATTGTGGACCTTGGCTGCGGACGTGGCACTTTGGTATGCGCCTCAAGTCCACTGCTGGAATGTTGTAGTCATTCCTGGTGATGACAAAACCTCGGTTTTGCAGCGAAAGGTTATTTGCAACCTTGAAAAATATTGAAAACAAATTGCATTTCAGCCCACCTATCCTAGAACTTGCTGAAGGATCTTCCGAGGTGATAAACATTCTCCCAACAGAATGAAAAACTAAAAAATGACAATTAGACTAATAGACTAATTAGATGTTTTCAATTTCTGTTAATTCATGCTGGTTCAAATTTTGAACTTTGCACCAGGTGTTGGAGCTACGATCCTGGCATCTGCAGGCTGTAGGACTGGATTTTGGTGCACACAGAAGCATTTGATCGACATTTGATCGACAATATGCATATGATTTGCATATGGTTCAAGCAGGATGTCGCTCTCGGAACCAAGAGGAAAATCTATGCAGAAACTGGTTTTATGCACTGGCATCGTATTGAAAGATAAAACGTCGTTTCAAACCTACATTGTTTTTGAATAACATATGTCATGCAATTTTTGCCGCTCGGGTAGTTTCAAGCTGTGATGGCGCAGGATTAGACGCGAATCCCCTGCTGACAGCCACCATCAACACCTATGGAAAGGTGGTGATGGACTGTGTTTTGAGGCAAACCAGGTGTTCTGATATGGTTTTCCAATAGTCCCGGGACTTGCAAGAGGCATAGGAGGAAACTATTATTTAGATGTCTCAGTTATTCTTGACAAACATGAAACAAAATAGAGGAGAGGAGAGAGAACGGAACTGTATTTTTTCCCCACCAGAATTCACCTGCATTGATTGATGACCTGCTCTTCAAAGTACTCACGCACAGGTGGCTGACGTGACGCAGAACTTGAGCTTCACTATTCAGACCGCGAGCCCTCGCTGTGTCTCCTGCAATGCAGGTTTATGCCGGGTTCCGAAGGTTTTTTCAGAAACAAAGAAACAAGTGCTCCGAAATTCCGCCTTGAAAACATTGTTTTTCTATCGCAACCCAGATTCGCAACAACGATAGGAGCATGAGAAGGTTGTGACATGTTGTGACATTGTGTGCCGCAGACCCAACAACTTTCACTTGTCCGCCAGTGGCATGGCCGAACCTCGCCGCCAACTTTCGTCGCTTGAGCCCTAGGTTTTCAGGCCTCACCTTGGAAGATGGTCTCCAGGCTTCGAGTATGAAGACGCTGGCAGGTCTGCCGGAGTGGAATTTGATGGAGACCCTACAAAGGTGGACACTGCAAATCCCACAGGCACAGCGTGGCACAGGGTGTGGTTGGCACAGGCAGAGGTGGATCACGTGACTTACTTGAAAAAACATATATTTTCCAATTCAAAGACAGTTGCGTTTTGAGTTTTCACACTGAAACTGCTTTTCTTGCCAAAGCAGCTCCTGAGTCTAACGAGTTTCCACTGGAGCACTCCTGGAGTCTTCCCTGATCTAACCTGATCATATCTTATATATCTTAAATATACCTTATATAACCTATATATCTTCTCATCTCAGCTCTGGGCTCCTGGGCTCTGCGCAGCTTGGCTGAATTGGATCAACTATGTGGCCGCGCGCTGCTGCGTTCAGCTCGCCTGCGTTGGCTTCGACACACTTGGGAAGCTGAAGTGGCATCTGCACAACCGCGACTCATGGAAGTCCACCAATCGGGCGTGGAGCTGAGTGCTGACACTGCTGACACTGCTGACACTGCTGTAGAGATTTGCCAGGTCGCACCACTTCAACAGGTTCAACAGTTAATTGAAAACACTAAGCCTCACTAAGCGGACCAAGGATAAAATAGGGTCAGCTGTGAAGTATGTGAATTGCATCTTTCAGTTGCATGGGCCAGGTTTGGCTTTACGAGAAGTACGATGTTGTCCCTCCACCTGATGAGGCTCCAGATTCCATCAGACTGCACTAGTACAGGCATTTCTGCAATGCAAAGCGAATGAATTTTGCTTGACTCAGTCACTCAGTCCTATCTTGGTCCCTGAATACAATTGAATTCATTAAGACTGGCTGAAGCTTGTCTGACTTTCGTCTGCAGTATCAAGCATTGATTTGGCTTTGCTTAGTTTCTCATCAAGAGGTATACACCCTTTTGCAGTACCCTGCGGCGCTCTTCCTTCCAAAGCCCTTCACACACGTGGGCTTTGTCGACTGCTGTTAGCGTTTTGTTTTTTCTCCAGCACCTTGACGTATTAAGCGAGTATTCCTAGTATTCCTCCTACTATTTACCATTCCTGCTACTATTCCTGCTACTAGCTGCTAGTATTCCTGGTATTCTAGTGCTCCCAGGCTGCATATGGGTTTTGCTCAGCATTGCTCCCTCCTTCTCTTTGGCTCTTTGGCTACGCTATGCCCCGAATAGCACATGGATGCACATGGCATGTTGCCCTCGCCATGGGACGGTTAGACGACTCGGTTGGACAGGAAGCCCCGAAGCCCCGAAGCCCCAGCCTTTGAAGTTTCTTCCAAGTTTGTTCAAACACGGTATGATTCGAATAATTCGAATAATTCGAATGATGCAAAGATGCCAAGATATACAAAGGCTGTGTATTCACATGTAGCTCATTTTGGCGACAGCCGAAAGCCTGGGGAAGCAATTTCAGGGCAGAGCTTGGAGCTCAACACAGTTGAATGCACTGGTAAAGGATCCTCTTTTTGGCTCTCTTTAAGGCTCTCTTAAGGCTGTCTTAAGGCTCTCTTATATTCTCTTATGCTTGTTTTTTTTGAGGACTTGGTCGCCTTGGTCTCCTAGCCCTCACGTTTTTGGTTCTGGCCATGCCTTTCTCATGGCTGTCTTGTTGGAAGCCAAAAGGCTGCAAATCGTGTGGCACTGGACCTGTGGTGCACAGTGAAGTTTTATTTGTACTTTTGAAGATGATTCTGTGAATCTTCTAAAATGCGTGTGAACAACATTGCCCTGAAATGACCTAAACCATCCTAAACCTGCTGAAGGTGACGATAGAATCCTCTGACACTCCCCTGTAGTGTTGCAATTGCGTCTTGCAAGACTCTTGCAAGATCTTGCAAGTCTCCGTGGTCGAGCACAATCTTAATCCGCGTAGAGCAAGCACGTGCCCAATCACCAAAACAATGTGAAAAATAAGGATCGCCCGTGATCTGCCAGGCTCAGGTGCAATCCCCTTTTGAATATGGCCCTGGAGCCTTAGTGCCAGCCACTTTGCTGCCTAAGGGCCTTTTTTTTGTGACTCTGTTTACCTACTGCTGACACGCTACATGTGTATCTATGTACATCTATGTACCGGCTCATAATACACAGTACGCAGACGCACAAAACTGTGTACACCCACTTGCCGCAGACACAAGAAACATATTTGAATACATGTATGTGTCATTTTGTGTCATATCTTACACAGACATGTGCAACTGTTTGTGCAGTTCCTGACAAACTTCTTGAAACAGCAAAATTTGACAGAGGAGGCGTTCGGAAGGGGAATATTTGCACAATTTTAATTGAGGGTTTTCTCACGTTTGACCTCATAGACGGTGATCGTTGGCGTCCCCTCTTTGAACCTATGAAAAGAAATACCCACACCATTTCATGGGTTATATATATATAATATGTATGTGTATATATATATATAATACAGTATATAAATACAAAGACATTTTCAATTCTATATAGAGTTACGGAGAAACGTTTGACACGTGACCTTCTCAGGATTTCCACCTGTTCTAATGAGGTTCCAATGGGTCATGAGTCATGACCAAATTGGTCCTTTCGTGTTGCTTTTTTTTACCTGGCCTAGGTGCAGAATGGTGAGACGATGGACTGGGTCATCAGCTTAGATGTTGGTGAGCACATCCCAACCCGTCTCCAGGCAGGAGTTTGAGATAGTTTGAGCTTGGTGGTCATGTGACCTCTATTGCTACGGGATTCTTCTATCGTGTTTTTTTATTTATATAGTTGTAGATGCTTCATTTCTTTATTTCGGAGTCTATGAAGTTGTTTTATGCAATGCATCATGGTTCAGCCGGCTAAATTCACCTGGTGGTTGCGCTGGAAACTCTCTTCCTGAGTTTTGTTCAGCACCAGAGGGAAAGTTCCTGAAGAATGTGGCGCAGTTGGCCGGGGAGGGCATCATCATCAGCTGGGGAAAGAAGTCTGAGAGGCTCGGGGGCTGGCCCAAGCTGGAAGAGAAGGTCTTCAGATTGTCACAAGATGTCGCAAGTCTCAGGTTCTTTTAATTTCTTTCATGTTTCCGAATGTTTCCCAGGGATTAAGGGCCCAAAATTTCAAAAGCATGACGTGATTTCTGACCCGTTCTGTGAATGTTCTGTGAGTCTGAACGGCTCTGTCAGTGATCACATCGGCAAGTTGATCTCCATGGGCTTTCGCCGTGACGAAGACTTTGAGGCAGAGCTACGGCTCTTCGCAGGTCAGACCTGGGTCGGTCACAAGGAATGGCGCATTCCGTGCAGGAACTGATTTGCTTTTGTAGACAGGAGACTTCACAATTTCATGATAAAACTTAAAACATGTAGGTGAGCAGATCTTGCGAATTGCTCACAGACTTCTGTTAAATCAAGGTTGACATTATGACATTGCAAAGCATCCAAGATTCAGTCTGATTCAGTCTGATTCAGTCTGTGCATGCGACAGGCATTGGCCTGCGCTCAGAGCTGCGCCACACATTGCGGGCGCTGCGGCGAGTCAAGCGTGGCACTGGGCAATGGGGCTGCGCATTGGAGCCAGTGCAGCCGAATCACTACTGCGAAGCTGATCTCACCTTCGGGTGCCGAGTTCGCAAGACATTTGGACGTAGAAACCTGAGGTGTTGGTGAGGAAAATCTTGGAAGATCTTGGAAGATCATGAGTATCATTTTGGACCATGGGCTACAATACGCGAGCATGCACTAGCTATCCAGCTATCTTCAGTATATATACGTATATATATAGATATAGATACCGATGATATACATTACACGCGAAGGATGCTAAGGTCTGACCGTCCATGATGGTTAACTGATGTTACAACTGATGTTACAACTGATGTTACCTGCATCATTTCTTGGTGTTGTGGAGCCGGTGCAGGTGCCTCGACCGGCAGAGGATTTGGGCTCGTGGCATGTGCAACGGTCTGTTTCGCCGACAAAACCTGATGTTTGACTCAGACGCCGTAGTGGCAGAATGCAAAATGCTGACCTCGAGTTTCTCAGCAGCCAATCTTGAGCACTGTAGTCACTGGAGACTGGCATTTGTGAAACATCTGCTCGATTCAACCCAGGTTTGCAGGAATATGAAGAGTGTGAACTTCCCGAGCCTCCGGCAATATCCACACAACCTGCACCAAAGATGTCAGACTGGGCTATTGTTTCTGGAGGCAATCTGAAACCTGATAATTGCACTCGCAGCTGCTGTTTGGGCAAAGGTCAACGCCAATTAGCCAATAAGCATCAATAAGCACTGTAAGACCATATTAGACATGTTTCTGGTAGAGATTCAAAACAGCCAAATACAACATATCTCTTGCACAGATATGTCAGAATCAGAATCTGACGGATGAGAGAATCCACCAATATCAGCAACTGAATGAACCCTTGTGCAAGACTGAACGGATGATTCAAGATGTGTTGTGCTTTCATAGCTTCGACGTGGAGGACCATTCACCAGATCTAGCTATGTGGCAAGCTTCAACTGCATCAGCCAAAATGCTTCTGGGCACAGTAGTTGCTTGAAGTTTCCAGAAAAGCATGGTATTCTCAACGAAGCGAAGCTGGAAAGTTTGATCTGAAAATCAGCAGCAGAAGGATTTGAACAAGTAATTAAGATCAATTAAGATCAATTAAAATCAATCAAGATTTCAAGAAGTGGGAACTTATTCCCGGTCACAACTGTGTTTGCAATCATTTGAGCATCATTTGCTTGGCGAATCGCACTCCTGAAAGACAAACACTCTCAACCCCCTCATCCTCCCCCACGCCGCCTACCCCCAGGCGAGAAAACGCTATTATCCCCCTGGTCTTGCCAACCGAACAATCATGAGAGGTTCTGCACATTTGTACATCCTCGAAAATGATCTGCAATCCTCTTGTTTTTGAACGAGCATTGGCGTTGGGGCAAACTTGTTCAGAGCTGAGGTTCCCATTCAAGATTTCTGGAGGCTTCATGGCTACCTGGACTGAATCTTGTGTGGTGCACATCAGATTCACGAAAAACGGGGAGAGCCCAAAGTGGGGGATGGATTTAAGCTCAGCAAAGCCAATACCCAGCTGCAGCTAATATGGGTTCCCATGCACCACAGACAGAAGGATTCTTGCTTACCCTTTGGTGCCGATGGGTGTTGTGAAGCTAGTCTCCTTGCTTGTCTCGCAGCGTCTCTCTGTGCCATCTTTGTCCCCCAGTTTCTCACTGGTGTTGTCGTGTTTCCATGGCTTGCTCAGCTCTTCTTTCAACATGGGGGTACTGAATTCATGCGAAGGGAAACCAAATAACCAAACCGTTCCTTGGAGAATCTGATATTCTTCAGCTTTCTCAACTTCCTTTTGCTGTCCGGCTTTATGCCGCTGGAAATTTGCACTCCGGGCTGCGCGGCTGCACCTGATCTGACACGGCCTGTGACGGCAAGTGTCGAGGTATATCTATCAGTGCTGCGTTTGACAGCGCGGATCCCTTGGTGCGCATGGATGAACCCATTTGGCACGGGGAGTCTTGTGGAGTATTGGCCGTTGGTTTCAAGCTCTTGAGGCCGGGCCACTGGGCGGATCTGGGCGGTAGGGGGAGAATTGGACATGCATTCCCTGGCAGGTTGATTGAAGGGCCTCGCCTTTACTTTGCTTCAGAGGTGAAGACTCTAGGTGGCAAACATTGGCAAATTGACTCCTTTTGACTGACTCCTCTTGGCTGCCGACTGTGCACGGACCGTCTTAGACTTATTAGACTGTAGTTTCTGATAATTTCTGCCATGCTTATCCGATGAATCCGATAATTATCCTATCTTATCCTTGTGTCTTGCTGGAAACATTGGGAACACTCGGCTTGGAACGCTGAGATCAGGAAAGTCTGGGCTGGCGAGGTGCACTTTGTCTTCAAGAAATGGCAATGGCAGTTCCTGGTCCAAGAGACTAGTCCAATATTTTTTCAGATTCCGGTCTTGTTCAAGTTTTGTTCAAGTTTTGTTCCTGATTTCTCGCAAAGTCATTTTCAACTATCCTGAACCAGCCTCAGGTTATCCTCCAACTGTTGGTTAGCATCCCTGCTGCGTCGAGCAAGCGCACTGATTCGAAGAAATGTATCCAGTTTCACTAAGTCCAACACAAGGCCTGTTCCCCCTGCAAGTCAAAAGTGGTCAACTTGGGCATGTGATATAGTCAGGGAAATTGAAAAACTGCCTGAGCGTTCGGAATAGGCCTACTTCCTGTATTTTGAACATGCTTGCAATCATGCACCGACCTGATCCCAAGCATTCGAAAAACTAGGAGGATCACGTATATAGTTCCTTGATTTTTTGACGCGGAGTCGTGGAGTGTTTGCACGAAACTGAAAGAACAATCTCGGTTGAGTTGTAGGGATGCATTGTATTCTTTAGATGTGTTCGCTGTGCAAACGAGAGCAATACCTCGGTGTTTGTGTTCATTTTATTTTCAGCGTGTCTTCGCCACAGTTGCCCTGTGTTGCACTGCACTGGGAGAGGAGCCGGTTGCGCGCCAATGTTGGGCTCCTGAATCGATGTACTTGGACACACCGCCGTTTGCGAAGTTCCAAGCGCTGCAAGGAGCGATGGGTAGGAGGTGGAGTGCAAGATTCGAGGAAAACCATTGACTTGTTGGGATACTTTTGAGACCTCTCGACACCAGCTTGGAGCTTTTGTTTGCTGGGTCGAAGTTGTCGGTGTCAATGGCGCCTACACTTTGTGCTGCCAACGATGGGTCAGCGGATAGGCTGCAGCTGGCTATGTCCGCCACTCCATGGGTCGAATGGCCACTGATAAGCCTTTGGAGAAAATCCTGGAGGCCTGGTCGTTGGTGCAGGCTGCACCACACTGCATGGTTCATAGTGCTTCTACTCAGTCTTGTAGCTTGCTCGGGTGGACCCGAGACATTCTTGCCATATCTTGGCTTTTATTAAAACCCAACACAAGATAATACAAGACCCTAGCCGCTTAGCCGCTTAGCCTAAGGCCAGTGAAAGTCTCTGGAGAGCTGGGACCTCAAATCTTTATATAGCTCAATTTGCAACCGGTGAAAGCCTTTGTGTAATTGACCGCTTTGCAATTTGCAATTTGTTTTTTTACATGTAAAAGAACTTTGTGTATGTCTTTGGCTTTGCTTCTCTTTGCATTGGCTCTCATGGCAAAACTACCCTCAAAGTGGCCTGTTCCAAACCTATTCCGGTCCTCTCCGAGGTTCTCTCAACTTCTCAATCTCCTTGCTCCGCAGAGTGTCCCAGAAGCTTACAGAAGCTTAGATCTTTAGTTGGAGGATTTGGAGGGACCACATTGTCATGGCCTGGACAACTCGCAGGGAGCACTTTGCATCAGTGCCTCTGCACGTTCCCTGCATGATCTGCATGAGAGTCCTCAGAGTCCTCAGAGTTCTCTGATTTCTGAGATTTCTGAGATTTCTGCCTTTGTTTTTCTGGCAGTGCTCAGGTCATGAGCCCGCCCTTCCGACGGTATGTGCAGCGACTTTTGGCGTTGGGAGACCCAATCAAGGCGAAATTGACGGGTGGGACCAAGACATTCAAGCTGTCTTTGTGAGGCTTGTTTTCAGCAAGTTTTGATGGTGAAAATCCATGACCACAGCGGTAGCCTATGGTTGCTTCACTGAGGCTACCGTATTGGGAGCTGGAGCAAAAAGTATGAGCGGTCCAGCATCTGTCCTTTTTGGAGTGAGGAAAGAAATGAAACGAACCAAAATAAGGAAGGGAACACCTGGAGTCGACCAAAATCAAAGATGCATTGTTTCTGTTTTTTGGTGGAGGATATTTTCGTACTGTGAGGTCTCCAGCATTCATTGGATTCCAGGTGACTCTCGTCTTGTTACTTGATAAATGGCAGATGCGGAGCTTTGTCATTTGGGCTCGAAAGAAACTGCGAAGTACAGGGATTCGAACGACAACTTTGTAGCTCAGGTTCCAGTTGTGGCTGGTGATGAAAAGCAACAAGGTACAGTAATTGTTCCGAAGTCAAAAGCTCTTGAGATTTGCACGAAAGGCAACGAAAGGCAAGGGTAGAAAGCACAAATTGCAACATGGCCATGCCAGCAGCAATCAGCAGCATCTCTCAAAAGCGCTTTGAACTTTCTTTACTTTGCTCTGGTTGTGTCCGGGAGGGGCCTCAAAAAAGGCCATCCTCAAGTTGCAATGGCAATTCAAAAGTCAGAAGAGGACCGTGGGATTGAAACAAGGGATCCAATGCAAATGACCCAGGGCCAAGGATGGCCAAGATATTTTCTGGTGTGGAACTCTGCACAGGCTGTGACGGGTTACATCTGTCTACATGAGGCATTCGTAACGTTCGGCAACCTCTCCCAGGAGGTGGCGACTGTGAAAGACTCCAAGGAGGCGCCACAGGATGCATCGAAGGCCGGGCACGCAATCTGCAAGCCTCCTGCAGATTCAAGCCTGACAAGCTTGATGAGGAACGGCTAAGCGTCTTTTAGATGCCACCATTTATGGTGGGAAACCAGTTGACAACGATTATTTTACATGATTCGACATGATTCAATGATTGCGATCCACGTTGGTCATCAGAAAATGGCAAAGGCTCCTTGTAACCAACTCAAATCAACTCAAACCAACTCAAACCAACTCAAGCACAAATCATATCCGTTCTCAGACACACGTGGCTGTTGAGGACATGGATCGTTCCACCTCTGACGAAGAAGATGTGGCAACAGGTGCGAACAAGATTCTTGGCGAGTCACGGCTAGTCTATAAAAAAACACATAGAAAGCACAACCAAAGATGCTTGAAGCTTTCTTTTTATTTTCGAATTCTTATTGTCAATGTCGGGCATGCAGCTAGTTCGCTGTTTGCTTGGCTGCCTTGGGTGCAGAGTATAGCAGTCCTGGAGAGGTATGACAGAGGCTAGAGGCCAGATCCAAGATACCGAGGATTGAGGATATGACCGATGATTGGGTGGAAGACCACATGAAGGATGTTACAGTTGCAGCTGCTCGACTGATTTTGAGAGGATACTCACAGCCTGTCAGTTTGAGACGAGCCTGAGGGGAATGAGTGTAACGAGCCTCGTGTGAAACAGCTGAGCGCGGCCCAGGTCATTGGGAACGTGGACAGTGGGAAGTCTACCCTGGTTGGGGTTCTAACCAAAGGTGGCTTGGACGACGGCAGAGGCCTTGCTCGAGCCAAGGTGGGACTGTTTGTGAGAACAGTCACGATGTCACTCTATGTCTTCAAATTGATAGCTCTGATAGACTCTGATAGACTCTGATATACTCTATACTCCGACAACTTAAACCCGTTTTCCGGTCATGGTGCCCATACCCACAGCTGTTGCAGACCAAAGAGTAGAAGCAACTTGCTGAGATGTTTCATATGCAAGTCGTCCAGACGTTGGAAACGAGGTATTGTTTGCACTTGTTGTCCCTTTGAAACTGATTATTGTAGAGCTTCGCACACCGGCGACGCCGGTAGGGTCGGGGGAGGGAAAGAGAGAGGGGGATGTCATCTGAACTTGCGAACATGACATGCTGAGGGTCGGCGGCCTATCTTGGGGCTATGTTGGCCCATCTTGGGGCTATGTTGGCCCATCTTGAGGCTATGTTGGCCTATGCCTAGTGTTGTAATTTACAGCATTTTGTGCTGTGAGATGGTAAGAACCCGTGTAAATACCACAGTTTTAGTCCCCGAAAGTGGCTAAAACACTCTTATTTACAGAGTTTCGTTCACATCACGATCTTCGATTTTTTGAAAAACGTGTAAATACCAGCGTTTTTTGCATTCATCAAGACAAAAAATCGGTTCAAAAAGTGCAAAAAATGCTGTAATTTACAGGGGAGTGGCCCCGTCACAAGCAAAAAACTGCGTAAATACTAGCGTTTCGGCGTCCAAAAGTTGCCAAAACACCGCTATTTACAGTGTTTCGTGCCTTCCACGTTTGCTTGAAATTGCAGAAACATTGTAAATACCAGCATTTTTTGCGATCAACCCGCCAAAAATGCTGTAATTTACAATGTATTTTTGCTTGGCTTTCAAAAACACTGGTATTTGCAGTGTTTTGTGCATCTCGGGTCCAAAAAGTATTGGTATTTACAGCATTTTCTGCGTTTTTGCATGGCTCCCGCCAACGACGTTAAAACGCAAAAATGTCGTAATTTACAGCATTTTGTGACTTCCGAAAAGTGAAAAATCGTCCGAAAAATGTGTCAAAACGGTACTTTTTTCCGATTTTTGGGACCTCCAAAACGCATCTTCAAATTTTACCCTCTTTTTGTCCACCCCAGACCCCGAAAAACGTGAAAACCCCACCAGGCTAAAGGATTTTTGGGAGGGTCGGCGGCAGGGGCGCGCCCCCGGGTAGCTAAAGCTATGCTTAGCTTCCCCACACTACACGGCGAGGCGTCGCCGGATTTAAGGGCTGACGCCCCCCGTCGGCTCCGCCGGATTTCTCGACCCTCCATTTCATCGCAGTGTGGGCTTGAAAGCTTTTGGACGGGGACCTGCTTCAGAAATATATTCCTTATGTTTTTTGAAAATTGAAAAAAGGTCATGGAATAGGAACTTTGTTGGAAATAGACGGCTTTTTTGGGGAGCAAGTGAGTTCCCGAAAGCTCCTGCCAAGGGTTTTTCCCGAAGAACTGCTGCCAATTTCAACTTGTTACTTCGTGTAAAGGTGCCTCTGTGCAAAGACTTCTCTGCGTAAAAGCTTTTGTGTGTAAAAGTTTCTGTGTAAAAACCACTTTGTGTAAAGACTTCTTTGTGTAAAAGCTTCTGTGTGTGAAAGCTTCTCTGTGTGAAACGTCTGTGTAAAGATTTCACTGTGTGTAAAAGCTTCCGTGTGTAACAACTCTCTGTGTAAAGTGTAAAGGCTTCTCTGTGTAAAAGCTTCTGCGTGTAAACGCGTCTGTGTGTGAAAGCTATATATCTGTGTAAAGACTTCTTTGTGTAACAGCTTCTGTGTGTAAAGGCTCCTAGACGTTTGTGTGCAAAAGCTATAGAGTAAAGACTTCTCTGTGTAAAACCTTCTGTGTGTAAAAAGCTCCTTTGTGTAAAGACTTCTCTGTGTAAAAGCCCCTGTGTGTGTGTCAAAATTTGTGTGTACAAAGCTCCTCTGTGTAAAAGCTCCTCTGTCTGTGTAAAAGCTTCTGTGTGCAAACGCGTCTGTGTGTAAAAACTCTCTCTGTCAGGCCTTCTTCGTGTAAAAAGTTCTGTGTGAAAAAGCTCCTAGACGTTTGTATGCGAAAGCTCCTTGGAGTAAAGACTTCTCTGTGTAAAACCTTCTGTGTGTAAAAAGCTCCTTTGTGTAAGGACTTCTCTGTGTAAAAGCCCCTGTGTGTGTAAAAGCTTGCTGTGTGCAAATGCTTTTGTGTGTAAAAGCTCCTCTGTGTAAAGGCTTCTCTGTGTAAAAGCTTCTGTGTGCAAACGCGTCTGTGTGTAAAAACTCTCTCTGTCAGTCCTTCTTCGTGTAAAAAGTTCTGTGTGAAAAAGCTCCTAGACGTTTGTATGCGAAAGCTCCTTGGAGTAAAGACTTCTCTGTGTAAAACCTTCTGTGTGTAAAAAGCTCCTTTGTGTAAGGACTTCTCTGTGTAAAAGCCCCTGTGTGTGTAAAAGCTTGCTGTGTGCAAATGCTTTTGTGTGTAAAAGCTCCTTTGTGTGAAGGCTTCTCTGTGTAAAAGCTTCTGTGTGCAAACGCGTCTGTGTGTAAAAAGCCCTCTGTGTAAAGACTTCTTTGTGTAACAGCTTCTGTGTAAAGGCTCCTAGACGTTTGTGTGCAAAAGCTCCTTAGAGTAAAGACTTCTCTGTGTAAAGCCTTCTGTGTGTAAAAAGCTCCTTTGTGTAAGGACTTCTCTGTGTAAAAGCCCCTGTGTGTGTAAAAGCTTGCTTTGTGTAAATGCTTTTGTGTGTAAAAGCTCCTTTGTGTGAAGGCTTCTCTGTGTAAAAGCTTCTGTGTGCAAACGCGTCTGTGTGTAAAAAGCCCTCTGTGTAAAGACTTCTTTGTGTAACACCTTCTGTGCGTAAAGGCTGCTAGACGTTTGTGTGCAAAAGCTCCTTAGAGTAAAGACTTCTCTGTAAAACCTTCTGTATGTAAAAAGCTCCTTTGTGTAAAGACTTCTCTGTGTAAAAGCCCCTGTATGCGCAAAAGCTTCTGCGCGACTCCTCCATCCAGCTTTCTTTCGGGTCACACTGTCGTCCAGTTTCAATCTGCAACATTGTTTCTTGTGGAAGATGCAAAGAACAGGTGAAAGCATCGCAGGTTAAAAAATTGAACATAAACAGCGCACAAAGTGCTGCAATTTACAGCATTTTGCGCTCTCAGATGGCAAGAACCCGCGTAAATACCACAGTTTTAGTCCCCGAAAGTGGCTAAAACACTGTTATTTACAATGTTTCGTTCACGTCACGATCTGCGATTTTTTGAAAAACGCGTAAATACCAGCGTTTTTTGCGTTCAGCAACGCAAAAAATCGGTTCAAAAAGGGAAGAAAATGCTGTAATTTACAGGGGTTTGGCGCCGCCACGGGCAAAAAACTGCGTAAATACCAGCGTTTCGGCGTCCAAAAGTGGCCAAAACACCGCTATTTACAGTGTTTCGTGCCTTCCACGTTTTCTTGAAATTGCAAAAGCACTGTAAATACCAGCATTTTTTGCGATCAACTCGCCAAAAATGCTGTAATTTACAATGTTTTTTTGTTGCGCTTTCAAAAACACTGGTATTTGCAGTGTTTTGTGCATCTCGGGTCCAAAAAGTATTGGTATTTACAGCATTTTCTGCGTTTCTGCATGGCTCCCGCAAAAGACGTTAAAACGCAAAAATGCTGTAATTTACAGCATTTTGTGCCTTTCGAAAAGCGAAAAATCGTCCGAAAAAGGCGTCAAAACGGCCCTTTTTTCCGATTTTAGGTACCCTCAAAACGGGGGGGGGGCCTTTTGCTCTTGGAGACGCTTATGAGCGACCCGGATTCCGGCCAAAAAGCTCTCCCCCACCCTCCTGAAGGATTTTTGGTGTTTTTCGGGGCCCGGCGTCGGAGGGTCGGCGGCTTGGGGCGCGCCTTACCTTAGAGCTCTAGTCGCTCTGGGACGCTCGTAGGGCAAGCCACTCGTGTGGAGCCGGCGGAGCCGAATTTAAGGGCTGCCGCCCCTGCCGCCGACCCCTGTGGTCCTGGGCCTCTTCTGCATCATGTTGGAGAAGTACCAGAAGGACGGGATAGGGATCATTAGTCTCCTGAATAGGGAGCAGAGCCCTGAACAGGGGCCACATATATTCGTGTAAACTCCTGAACAGGGAGAGCCTCGCAGAGAGGCACTTATGGGCGGGATCTGGGGAGTAGTTTGGTATATAGTGTATGTGTCTGTGTGTGGGTTTATGTGAGTGTGTGTGTGTGAGTGTGGGTGTGTACGTGTGTGTGTGTGTGTACGTGTGTGTGTGTGTGTTTTCGGAGGTGTGTTGAGGTTTGTGTTTGCGCGTAGGTGTTCGAAGCTTGATGGCGGTGGTTGGGCATGAGAGTCTCTGGTCCTTCTGTCGGGTTCGTGGGTTATGAGATGGTCGGGATGGTGAGGGGGAAGTGCAGGTGAATGTAGCTCTGGCAGCGTGTCGTTTGGGTTTGTGTTTGTGTGGGTGCGGCTGTCCTTTTTGAGCTCCTGAACAGGGAGGCTGCGTCCTGAACAGGGACGGTCTTTTTTGTTTTGGCTTGGTGTGGGCGTCTGTCTTTTTTGGTATTGAAGCTCCTGGACAGGGAGGCTGCGTCCTGAACAGGGACAATCTTTTTGTCGTGTTCTGGTTTTTGGCGGGAAGGTGTGGGCGGGATGAAGGAAGTGTCAAAGACTAAAAAGACAAGTCCCCGTTTGGCGTCCCTGGATAGGATTCGGGGGGTCTGGCCCAAAAAACCTCAGACCCCAAGATTTTCATCTCACACATCCCTGTTTTGAACTTTGCCGGAACAGATCTCCACATTATACCCCACATGTGTGCCAAACCTTCCTGAACCAATGTCTCAAGACACACCACAACACCTTAGACCCCAAGATTTTCATCTCACACATCCCTGTTTTGAACTTTGCCGGAACAGATTTCCATATTATACCCCACATGTGCGCCAACCAAGCCTGAACCAATGTCCCAAAGGCCTAACGTTGCTTTCTGAACCTACAAGAAAAGTAGCCGTCTTCGAGCTTTCCAAGCTCAGAAACGGCGCCTCCGCCACGCCCAAACAGCAGGGCCCTGAAGGACGGACCGGGCCTGCCGACAACGGCCCCAACTGCCTAACGTTGCTTTCTGAAATTACACGAAAAGTAGCCATCTTCTAGCTTTCCAAGCTCAGAAACGGCGCCTCCGCCACGCCCAAACAGCAGGGCCCTGAAGGACGGAAAAGCATCAAAATTGCGACCAAAAACTGCCTAATGTAACTTCTGAAACCCATAGAAAAGGATGATTTTAGCTACTTTTTCCTCCTGCTGCTGCTGTAGCTAAAATTTCCTCCTGCTGCTGCTGCTGCTCCTGCTCTTGCTACTCCTTCTGTTCAAAAGACAGCTCCCGGATGGGAAAACACCATGGCAGTGAAGGACGGAAAAGCATCAAAATTGCGACCAAAAACTCCCTAATGTTGCTTTCTGAAACGGCACCAACTGCTAACGTTAAAAACGGCGCCTCCGCCACGCCCAAACAGCAGGGCCCTGAAGGACGGAAAAGCATCAAAATTGCGACCAAAAACTGCCTAATGTAACTTCTGAAACCCATAGAAAAGTGATGATTTTAGCTACTTTTTCCTCCTGCTGCTGCTGTAGCTAAAATTTCCTCCTGCTGCTGCTGCTGCTCCTGCTCTTGCTACTCCTTCTGTTCAAAAGATAGCTCCCGGATGGGAAAACACCATGGCAGTGAAGGACGGAAAAGCATCAAAATTGCGACCAAAAACTCCCTAATGTAACTTCTGAAACGGCCCCAAATGCCTAACGTTAGAAACGGCGCCTCCGCCACGCCCAAACAGCAGGGCCCTGAAGGACAGAAAAGCATCAAAATTGCGACCAAAAACTGCCTAATGTAACTTCTGAAACCCATAGAAAAGGATGATTTTAGCTACTTTTTCCTCCTGCTGAATTTCCTCCTGCTGCTGCTGCTCCTGCTCTTGCTACTCCTTCTGTTCAAAAGACAGCTCCCGGATGGGAAAACACCATGGCAGTGAAGGACGGAAAAGCATCAAAATTGCGACCAAAAACTCCCTAATGTAACTTCTGAAACCCATAGAAAAGGATTATTTTAGCTACTTTTTCCTCCTAAACAAAATTGCAACCAAAAACTCCCTAATGTAACTTCTGAAACCCATAGAAAAGGATTATTTTAGCTACTTTTTCCTCCTGCTGCTGCTGCTGCTCCTGCTCTTGCTACTCCTTCTGTTCAAAACCCATAGAAAAGGATGATTTTAGCTACTTTTTCCTCCTGCTGCTACTGCTGCTCCTGCTCTTGCTACTCCTTCTGTTCAAAAGACAGCCCCCGGATGGGAAAAATGTGTTTCCAAGCTCAGAAACGGCGCCTCCGCCACGCCCAACCAGCAGGGCCCTAAAGGGCGGACCGGGCCTGCCGGCAACGGCCCCAACGGCCTAACGTTGCTTTCTGAACCTACAAGAAAAGTAGCCGTCTTCGAGCTTTCCAAGCTCAGAAACGGCGCCTCCGCCACGCCCAAACAGCAGGGCCCTGAAGGACGGACCGGGCCTGCCGACAACGGCCCCAACTGCCTAACGTTGCTTTCTGAAATTACACGAAAAGTAGCCATCTTCTAGCTTTCCAAGCTCAGAAACGGCGCCTCCGCCACGCCCAAACAGCAGGGCCCTGAAGGACGGAAAAGCATCAAAATTGCGACCAAAAACTGCCTAATGTAACTTCTGAAACCCATAGAAAAGGATGATTTTAGCTACTTTTTCCTCCTGCTGCTGCTGTAGCTAAAATTTCCTCCTGCTGCTGCTGCTGCTCTCTGCTCTTGCTACTCCTTCTGTTCAAAAGACAGCTCCCGGATGGGAAAACACCATGGCAGTGAAGGACGGAAAAGCATCAAAATTGCGACCAAAAACTCCCTAATGTAACTTCTGAAACGGCCCCAACTGCCTAACGTTAGAAACGGCGCCTCCGCCACGCCCAAACAGCAGGGCCCTGAAGGACAGAAAAGCATCAAAACTGCGACCAAAAACTGCCTAATGTAACTCTGAAACCCATAGAAAAGGATGATTTTAGCTACTTTTTCCTCCTGCTGCTGCTGTAGCTAAAATTTCCTCCTGCTGCTGCTGCTGCTCCTGCTCTTGCTACTCCTTCTGTTCAAAAGACAGCTCCCGGATGGGAAAACACCATGGCAGTGAAGGACGGAAAAGCATCAAAATTGCGACCAAAAACTACCTAATGTAACTTCTGAAACCCATAGAAAAGGATTATTTTAGCTACTTTTTCCTCCTAAACACCATGGCAGTGAAGGACTGAAAAGTATCAAAATTGCGCCCAAAATGCTCCTGCTCTTGCTACTCCTTCTGTTCAAAAGGCAGCTCCCGGATGGGAAAACACCATGGCAGTGAAGGACGGAAAAGCATCAACATTGCGCCCAAAAACTTCCTTAAATAACTTCTGAAACCCATGTAACTTCTGAAACCCATAGAACAAGATGATTAGCTTTGATTTTGGCTACTTTTTTCTCCTGCTGCTGCTGCTCTTGCTACTCCTTCTGTTCAAAAGACAGCCCCCGGATGGGAAAACACCATGGCAGTGAAGGACGGACAAGCATCAAAATTGCGACCAAAAACTCCCGAAACAAGAGTCAAAAGTATTATTCATGGCAGTGAAGGACTGAAAAGTATCAAAATTGCGCCCAAAATGCTCCTGCTCTTGCTACTCCTTCTGTTCAAAAGGCAGCTCCCGGATGGGAAAACACCATGGCAGTGAAGGACGGAAAAGCATCAACATTGCGCCCAAAAACTTCCTTAAATAACTTCTGAAACCCATGTAACTTCTGAAACCCATAGAACAAGATGATTAGCTTTGATTTTGGCTACTTTTTTCTCCTGCTGCTGCTGCTGCTGCTCTTGCTACTCCTTCTGTTCAAAAGACAGCCCCCGGATGGGAAAACACCATGGCAGTGAAGGACGGACAAGCATCAAAATTGCGACCAAAAACTCCCGAAACAAGAGTCAAAAGTATTATTCCCTGGCGCGCTCCCCCTTGCGTCTGCCGGGGTCGGCGGATATATATATATATATATATATGTATGTATGTACACACATCTTTGAACAAATTGAACAAGCAATATCAATCAGGTTTCCACACACTGTCACACCGTGGCACACCTCTTAGAATCATGACTTGTGAGGTCTTCAACTTCTCTCACGAAGCGGCCAATGGCCGTACCAGCAGCATAGCTCAGGCTTGCACCATTCCACCATGGGTGCTGGCGTGGTAGTGGCAAAGCTTCTATGACTTCTATGATGTTTTCTTAATGCTGGGAGGGTAGTAAGGACAAGCGGTATGACATTTTGGTCGACAGACGTTTCGGATTCAAATTGTCAACATTGCGTTACCCCATGCTTGGAAACGTATGAAATTGTCATGAAGTGTACCATGGTGCTTGGAACCGGGCTTGATGTTTGTCAGAGCCAGGAAATCATGGGCTTCTCCTCTACTGGGGATCAGGTGAGGAGAAATAGGAGAATCAGACTTGCGCTGCAAAGAAGTTTGTGGTTGCGTATCGCACTTGAAACAGTGAAGGTCTTTGGCCAATTCACAGCATGATTTCAAGATACTTGAATTGTCCACAAATTGGTACAAATTCAAGAGACGCTTAAGAGACACTAGGAATCACTAGACACTACCGGTCACTACCGTAGAATCTCAGTTCTCAGTCTCAGTTCACATCAGTTCACCGGCAACCTGTCCAATCTGGGAAGGTGATCATTGAACGCATGGCCAACACCACTGCAAACTCGCGGAACACGACGTGGCAGCAGGTTGTGAGCCAATCAGAACGATTGGTGACTTTCAGCTGCTCGGCATTGCTTGGCCATCGATTCAAGATGATTCAAGCTTGCTTGTTCGTTTTTCCGACAGTGTGACGGTGTGACTCGATGCGTCAATGCAACACGTGGTTAGGATGCTTCCATTTATGTATGTACTGATAATATGTAGATAATATACACATGTATAGATATAATATGATATATAGTAATAATTATAACAACAACAATACTAGTATGAATAACTATAACAGTAAGAATGATAATTATAACAATAACAACAATAATAGCAACATTAACAAGGATAACAATAACAATAATAAGAACAACTACTGTACATGTGGCAACATAACGAGGAACCACTGTCTTTGTCTTTGTGGGTGAACGGTAAGAATTTCCAGGAATCGTTGGGAATGACCAGGATCAGCTGATTTGACTTTTGAGGTGACCTGTGCGGCCATGAGAAGTACCTGAAGACGACCATCTTTGGGTTGGTGGGCCAATGCACGGGCACCAAGACTGGCTAAGTTTCTGGAGACCCAACCACCATGGCTCAACGGAAGGTGCTGGAAAGAGTTTTTTTTGTTAAAAGGAGACCGTGTGGTCGGCTTTCTGAAGAAGGCCAACGCTGTATAAACAAAGACGAAAGTTAGGAGACACCACTTGTCTATGATTATTGAGATCCCCCCTTCTCCAGGACAGAACTCAATATCTCCCAGGATCATTGATGAGCTGCAGAGGGTACTACGTTCCACTTTGTACTCGTAGTTTGAAACTCACTGCAATCCATTTTATCATTTTATCGCTGAACAGAAATCTCTCTAAGGACAATTCGGATGAAGTCAGATGACATCACTCCGTGCTCAGACAGTGCCACTTCCCCAAGTCCCAGACCACACTGCACTGAGGTCCTGACTATACCATGATTATTGTCAACGCCAACGCAGGCTTTCAACGCATGTCGCGCGAGCACTTGGGTATCTGGTCCTGAGCTGCGCTTTGAATGCTTTTGATTTGAAGATTATTATTGAAGGTCTTGAATGCTGCAGTCTTTAACTGATCTTGGGTCGGAGTCCGTGCATGCCTATCTCGCATCTGAGGCATTGCGCTCGCTCTTCGTATCCCGTTTTTTATCGTAGTGACCAAGATTGACATCGCTCCACAGTGGCTCGGCAACTGACATAGGATACTCACAGGTTGTGCACCATCAAAATCATCAAATCGCCTGAAGCTCTGTGAATTCCGAGCCTCACAGCGGAATCAAAGGAATGTGTTCGAGGAGAACTTGCTCCAGCTGCACAAGATTGTGAAGCACGGCTCCCTGCAATCCCAGTGCTGATTACCTGGAGCTTGTACAAATTGTATTACTTTGTGCAATTTGTTACATCGCACTATTTGAATCTATTTGATACTATTCGACTATTCGTACATTTTGGAGCACATTTTGTTACGACAATTTTTCTCCTTTGCAATTTGCGCAGAGGTCAAATGCAGTGAAGCGGCAGCCTCTTGTGGTGAAGGAAATGGATCAGCTGGAAGCTGCAGCATCTGGTATCTTCAACAGAGAGGCCCACCAATGTCCACCGCTGCAAGATTTGTGACACAAATTAGTTCAAAGTCAAGGGAAATCCGAATTCCATGAAGGAAGCAACACAAGTTGTGTGTTTTCGAAAAACTCAAGCCATGAGTCAGTTTGCTGTCTGTTGAGCCGTTATGAATCGTTATGAAAAAAGTGCGGCCCGTTGCCGTTTTGAATGTTGCTAGTTGTTGCTAGTTGTTGCTAGTTCCAGTGCCAGGCTTGTCCCATTTTCTGCATCTCTAGCGTGACGGGAGAAGGCAAGTGGAAGGTGAATAGGAACCATGGGCCGAGTGTTTGAACTGTCTGCAATGTCTCCATGGGCCAACAAACAATCAACAAACCATCCAGACCGTTGCAAAGTCGTGCAAAAAAGGATCCAACCAAGAGGGGCTCCATGCAGTTTGTTTCTGAGGAGTTTCAAGAGCAATGTAATCCATCCCGTGGACATTCCTTTTGCTAGGTCTACCGTTGCTGCGGAACTTTTTGAGATGTTTACCATCGAGATTGCAGGACCGGGATAACTAAGATAGCTTACCGATGCTTACTGTAGGTGAGGTGCAAAGTTTGCAATTGTCGAAAGCCTTCGGGTTAATGTGGGAGAGAGACCCGCCAGACAGCTTTTTCTCTCTTGACTTGAAGTTGTATTCCATCCTGGTGGAAGTGGCATTCAGTCGTAAGACAATATATACCATTATAATATACTATAATCCATTACATATAATAATCGAAGGAAGTTTAGAAGTCAAACTTCCGACAATATGGAAAGATGAAAAGCAGAGGTGGAGCAGAAGAATAGAGAAGAGAAGAGCAGAAGAGAGAAGATCAGAGAAGAGAAAGAGTCAGAAGAAAGAAGATGCAGGTGCGCGAAAAGGTAGGAAAGTCGCGAAACACTGTGTTTTTCCAATGATTTGTGGCTCCAGAGGGCCGAAAAGTAGGCTCGCTAAAGCGGCCGGTGCGGAGCCATCTGGCCAGATGAGAGATGAAAAAATGCACGCCGTTGTGGCGCGAAGCACTTTTCCAAGTCAAAACGTACAAAGCACACCAGGTTCGGACCACTTTTGGAAGTTGCGATGTCGAAAAAGTGCACGCCGTTGTGGCGCGAAGCACATTTCGAAGTCAAAATGTACAAAACACACCATGCTCGGACCACTCTTGGAAGTTGAGATGTCGAAAAAGTTCATGTGGTTGTGACGCGAAGCACGTTTTTGAAGTCAAAATGTTAAAAGCACCAGGGGATCGGACCACTTTTGGACGTTCAGATGTCGAAAAAGTGCCACGCCGTTGTGGCGCGAAGCACATTTCCAAGTCGAAATGTACAAAGCACACCAGGTTCGGACCACTTTTGGACGTTCAGAGGTCATTTCGCGTGGCAGGCGCAGGGGATTGTGCACCTTGTCAAAAGTGAGCAAAACGTGAGGGTTTTGGCGCATTTCCAAAAACCATGGCAGGCGTGGGACGTTTACAGAGGATCTGCAAAGATGCCTTTTCCGTGGCAGGGGCAGTACAAGAGACATGTTCATCAGAGATGTTAGGAGGTCCGGGCGCTAATTTCCTGAGAACGGTTGCGTTTTGCAGCATCAGATCTTCAGTTTTGGGAAAATGATTTCGTGTGACAGGTGCAGCACTTCGTATGACCTGGCCTCACTTTTTCGTGGCAGGCGCAGCACTTTACACAGATGGAGTGGAAAATTCGCAAAATGCATTGGCACGAGGCCGTCAGCTCTGCACTCAACTTTCCATTTTTGAAGGAAGTCTCGCAGAATTGCTTCGTTTTTGATGTTGTCAGCTCCGAAAAATGAGGAAGTGTTGCAGAATTGCTTCGTTTCTGACGTTGTCAAGTTCAAATTTTGAGGATGTCTGGCAGAGTTGCTTCGTTTTTGACGTTGTCAACTTCAAACATTGAGGAAGTCTGGCAGAATTGCTGCGTTTTTGATGTTGTCAAGTTCAAATCCTGAGGACGTCTCGCAGAATAGCTTCGTTTTCAAGCTTGCAGATAGACAGGTAGATAGATAGACAGACAGACAGAGAGATAGATAGATAGATAGATAGATAGATAGACAGACAGATAGATAGATAGATAAATAGATAGACAGATAGATAGATAGATAGACAGATAGATAGGTAGATAGGTAGATAGGTAGATAGGTAGATAGAAAGATACAAAGTTAGATAGACAGATGAGGTAGATAGGTAGATAGATAGCTAGATAGATGGATGGATGGATAGATAGATAGATAGATAGATAGAGAGAGATTAGATTAGATTAGATTAGATTAGATTTAGACTTAGATTTAGATTTAGATTTAGATTTAGAATAGATTAGATTAGATTAGATTAGATTAGATTAGATAGACAGATAGAATAGATGGATAGATGGATAGATGGATAGATAGATAGACAGATGGATAGATAGATAGATAGATAGATAGATAGATAGATAGATCGGTAGGTAGGTAGGTAGGTAGGTAGGTAGGTAGATAATCAGAGAAAGAGAGAGAAAGAGAGAGAAAGAGAGAGAAAGAGAGAGAAAGAGAGAGAAAGAGAGAGAAAGAGAGAGAAAGACAGAGAAAGAGAGAGAAAGAGAGAGAAAGAGAGAGAAAGAGAGAGAGAAAGAGAGGAGACCTCAACCACCTTTCGGTCCATCAGTGGATTCGCTCTGGCATCCGTGATTCACAACAACCAACCTCTCCTATAGGTTTCCTATTTTTGAAACTTTCGCCACCGCCTTGTGCGGTACTACTGGTATACAAGTACTATTTTATAGATAAAGTTGCTATGTACTGTAGTACCGAACTGTGCTTGTGACGAAGCTGTTGGGAGGATAGCGGCCTTTTCAGACCCCCTAGCAGCTTGGGTCTCGGTATGGTCTCGGTGCAGCATGGCAGCATAGTATGTTCAGTGTGTGTTCAGCATGTTCTGTGGAGAGATCCATGCTTTCACACTCCGACTACACAACCTTCAAGTCATATTGAGCCATGTCAAACCATAACCATTGGAGTGTTCGGAGCGCTCAGGCCCTGCGGAATTTCACATCGACTCGATCTACGTCATGCTCCTAGATGCTTTCCTCTGGGTAGCAACGAAGGTGCCTTTTTTGGGACGTTTCGTGGAGAAATGAGGATGAACATACGACCAAGATTCCACTTTTGCACATTCCCAATCAAACCAAACATTTGGCATATCTTGGCATAACATTTGCACGTACCAATTCGATGGCATGATACAATTCTTCGGACGTGTGAACCTTTTCGCAATGAGGTTGTGCCTGGAGTCGGCCTTGTGGTCGGTGGTGTCGTCCGTCCAGGCCTTTGTGACAAAGGCCCTTAATTTTTTCCCAACAACATCATACAGAAAGAAACTGAAATGGAATACGAATGAATACGATCATTTGATTTGAAAACTGAGGCCTTGCATCAGACTGCATATAATATAATTGCATTCTCAAAGCATTCTCAGAGCAGTAGATTAAGTAGACTCAGTAGACTCAGTAGACTCAGACTGCAAGACGTGCGACGTGCATCGACGTGCCTGGACTTGATGTTTTTTCCGCTCCAATGGAGTTGCAGAACTCGCAGAACTTGTGATTTGTTCCTCAAACTTATGTTATGTTTATGTTCAGCATTGTTCAGAGAGGTGCAGCTTTAATGCCGCCAATGCAGATAGCGCATGTGTTTTTATTCCTGAAGTCCGCTTGTTTTTTTGGCACAGATTCACTGAGTGATTAGTTCTGTCTCAACTGCACCTAGCGGCATAATGCGGCATCCGAAAGCTGAGAGAGGATGCAGACACAGTGCAGCGTATCCGCCATGTGGACACTGTGATCGACGCGCAATGCTTTGATCTGCTATGTTGATCTATGTTGACCGTCCACAAGAACAGGGTGGTATCAGATGTAGCGTTGCAGCAGGCTGCAGTTCGACAGAAGGAGCGACAGCCATCGCTGTTGACATTTCATGGCACGCCATGACTTGAGATGTGAGACATTTGTTGGAAAAACACACACACACACATCGCGTCCCAAGAGTACAAGCTAGCAGTGGGCTTCTATTTAATGGCATGGGTCATCCATACAGGTCAGATCTTGGCATCTACCTGCAAGGTTTTCAGGGAAAGCCTGAATGAAGAAGAGTTCTCTAGGGTGAGGCACAAGGCACAAGGCACAGTGAGGACCTCGAGCTATTACACTGTCTAATTAGACTCTATTAGACACTGTGACAGCTTAGCCGCTCAGCCGCTGCGCTCAGTCGCTTAGGCTTGGCTTGGGCTGACAGCGCCAGGAGCTGGACTTCTACACGAACAACTTCTGGATCTTTGGAGGGACCACTGTGATCCTGGCAGGGTTCTCACTGGCGCAGCTGACAAGGGAGATCCCTGAGGGTACGAACCCGGCTCTGGAGTACCTTGAAAAGCTGAAATTTGCCAGAAGGGATGTCTTGGAACATTGGAACTAAGCAAAAGTGTAGGCTATATTTTGCTTCTTGAGTGTGGACTATGTTCATTATCATTGAAGTTTTGAATTGTTTCCTTTCTATTCCTTTCTCGCTGCTGAGGTATACCTATTTGGGATTCACCACACTTTGCCTCAGCCTGGACCTGTGCATCGTCACCTGGACTGTGCTGGTGTGCACTTGGGCGCCAGGCAATGCTCTACGAGGACCAGATGGGATGACCTCCTTCCACGAGACCCTGTCACTTTTGAAGGAGGAGCAGATGTCTATTTACTATGCTTTTGTGGCAAGCTCCAATTTGCTTCAGTGGCTTTCGATGGCTTTCATATTTAAAACCTTCTTCAATCCTTTGTCATCTTTGTCTCGATTTGGGTTCCAACCGTTTTTGCCTGGATACATTGAATCAGTCCATGCCGCTGACAAGACCTGGAGTTTGCAGGTGAGCATTATCGCTTATTTTGGTTCCTCCTGCTGCCTCTTGTGGGTCTACCCATCTGGGTTAATTACCAATCTGATCGGGACCAGCGTGTTGCTGCTTGCACTGGTAGTCCTCTTGCGCTTCCTCTTCAGTCTGGAACACCAGGCCGGGACGATTTTCTCTCGGTTGGAGTTTGGTGGAGTTGCATGGTGTCTGATGGCATTTGCAACATTATGACTCATTACGACCCCCTAGTTCAATATGAACCAGTGACTTCCCCCCAAAGCTTGTTCACAAGGAAGCAATGCATGCAATAGGAGTCACCCCCAGTTTGCTGTTGCAATCCGCAATATTGAACACATTTGAACACCATACAGAACTCACTGCAGACATCTTCTGCTTTCCTCATTGGCAGACAGCAGCTCGGATAGGTGGGCATGTTCGGCAATTCTCACGACGACGATGGTCGCATCAAGAATCTCAGACCGTTTGAGCGCGTTGGGGATCTTGACGAGCGTCTTGGATGCAGCAACATTTTGCCAAACATTAAGAGTGTCTCTCAAGTAAGAGCCTTGCTCCAGCGTTTGGGTCAGCTATTCTTGCTTCATTGTTTTTAACCTTTGTCCAAATGTCAAAGCGTTGGCCCTGAAGATAGGCTTAAATTCTTGAAAAGAGCCCACAGTAGACTTTGAAGGAACCCCCCAATGCCGAACCACCATTCCGATATCCATAGCCGCTCTATGATCGCACTACGAAGAAAAACGCCACAACAGTCAACACAGTAGTTCGGTTGTCAAGATCGCAAAAGGTAGTGTCAGCTACCTGAGTTCTCTGTGCTTTAGCACATGTCCCTTTTCGGAGCAGAGGAGGGCACAGGAGTGCTCCAAAATGGTCGCAATTTCAATTCCTGGTCTGTCCATGCACCTTGCTACTACAAATTTGTAGAGGTCCGAAGAGGTTGTTGCATGCAATTTTCAAGGCTTTTCTTTGCCCGGCACGGCTTCCACTCTAATATTTTTGCTGAAGGCAGCCGTTCTCTCAGGTTGAGCTTATCTGGTGGTTTGGGTTGGTGGTTTGGGGGTTTGGGAGATGTTGGATTTTGATATATTTTATGTTGGATTTTCTGATGTTTCTTTCATGCTTGCTGGGGCATTGAATCGTTTTGTTTGATGCTCTGGTACATCCAAAGCTGATTTCTTTGATGGAGGTTTCATGGAGTTGGCATCAAAAGCGCCAAGAAATCAAACTTGTTAGGGAAGTAGCAGTTAGAATCACTTAGATATGGCTATTAAAGAGAGTTCGGCTGGTTTGGCATTCTTTTTTGCCGTTTTCATGCAGGTTTCCTGCAGATTTCATTCAGGTTGCCGACAGAAAAGAACATGTCAGAAACCTCCAAGAAACCTCCAAGAAACCTCCATGAAAACGACATCAAAGCGACATGAAAACAACATCACCAAAGATAGCTCAAATTACGAACAACTCACCAGGAAAACGTTTTTTCGTGATGTTTTTGGTGATGTCGTTCTGATGTCGTTTTCATGCAGGTTTCTTACAGGTTCCTGACATGTTCTTTTCCTGATGGAGGTTTGATGGGGTTTCCAGTTTTTTTTAACCATCAGGAAACTCAAACCTGCATCAAATCTGCACCAAATGTTTCCTCCTTATCAAAAATTAAAGGACCAGATAACCCCACATGTTAAGCCTTCCGATTGTGATGAGAAGAAGGTGATGACTTGGGATGGTGGGAGCAGATGATGATCGGATGGGGAAGAGATAGGTAGATAGAAAGATCAATCGATGGATGGACAGACAGACAGAGACAGACAGAGACAGACAGAGACAGAGACAGACAGAGACAGACAGAGACAGAGAGAGAGACAGAGAGAGACAGAGAGAGACAGACAGAGACAGACAGAGACAGACAGACAGACAGCCAGCCAGGCAGGCAGGCAGACAGACAGACAGACAGCATTTCCACCGGGAAGCCTTTACACAGAGCAGCTTTTACAGAAGCAAGTGCGCAGAGAAGCCTTTACACAGAGCAGTTTTTACACACAGACGCTTTTACACACCGACGCTTTTGCACAAAGCAGCTTTACACACAGAGGCTTTAGCACAGGGAAGCCTTTACGCTGAGCAGCTTTTACGCAGGAGCATTTACTCAGAGAAGCCTTTAAACACAACAGCTTTTTACGCAAGACAAAATTTACACGGAGGAGTTTTACACACAGACGCTTTTACTCAGAGCAGCTTTTACACAAAGCAGGTTTTACACACAGACGCTTTTACACACACAGACACACAGACGCTTTTACACACAGACGCTTTTTCGCAAAGCAGCTTTTGCACACAGAAGCCTTGGCGCACGGAAGCCTTTACATACAGAAGCCTTTACACACAGAAACTTTTACACCGAGCAGCTTTACACACAGACGCTTTTACACAAAACAACTTTTACACACAGAAGCTTTTACACAAGGAAACCTTTCAACTTTTACAAACACAACCATTTTTACACAGCGAAACCTTTACACAGAGCAACTTTTACACACAGACGCTTTTACACAGAGCAGCTTTGCGCACAGAAGCTTTTGCACGCAGACGCTTTTGCGCACAGACGCTTTTACACAGAGCAGCTTTTACACAGAGCAATTACGCAGAGAAACCTTTACACAGAGCAGCTTTACACACAGACGCTTTTACACACAGACTCTTTTACACAAAACAACTTTCACACAGAGAGCTCTTTACAGAGGGAAACCTTTACACAGAGAAGCATTTACGCACAGAAGCATTTACACCAGATTTGTTTTCGCAAAGCAGCTTTTGCACAGGGTTGCTTTTACCAGGACCTGGAGGCCTTTCACACACAGACGCTTTTACACGAAGCAACTTTTACACACAGAAACTTTTCCACAGGGAAGCCTTTACACACGACCAGGGTCCAGAGCGACCCCCATGTGACCCTCCGAACAAACCCCATGGAACACCGTTCTGGGTCTGCCAAGCGTGTGCCAACTAAACAGAAAAAAACCATTCTTTCCTGAATTTTCGGAGTCTTCTAAGGCGTGCTGCAAACGAATAGTTCGAACATTCTTGTGAAGGCAGCTGGGGCGCCGAAGACAACTCGGAAATGACTTGACAACAACCTTTGATGCGGTGATACATTGACTGTCCTAGCTAAAGTTGTTTGGACAATGCGTTTGAAGTAGGGATCTCAAAAGCAAGATCCCCCTCGTTGTGAGTGAAACCTGCTTCAGCGAGACAACAAAATCACTGCGCCTAAATACTTGCACGGGTTTGGCATTTTCCTTTCCCAACGACGGTCATAGAGTTGTGAGTCAGAAGCCGCAAGTCTTTAACGTGCGAGTTGTCATTGTCATATTGAGTCACTGCTGGACATGGAAGGCAGGGCAAGGCACAGGAAGACAAAGGAAGGTTGCAAGGATAGGACATGTTGTAGCGCTATACCAAGGTGCTGGGCGCATTCGCCCAGGCCAACAACTGTTGCTGGGCCCTGACAAAGTGAGTCAGTTGGACCGCCCAGATATGCAGAAACACATCGAGCCGTCGACAAATCAACAAGTTCACCCAAACATAGCATTGAATCACTGCGAAGGCAGTATAAATGAAGTATGCGATTTGTACCTTATCCCAGTGCTAGGGGCCGAAGGATTAGTGATTAGTGCACTTGATATTTTTGTTTCGGCAATCACGAGTGACGGATTTGACAAACACAGCTAGGTACTTCAGGCAAGGAAACTTTGATTCCCTCCACATGTGCCATGCTTTGGTAGACTCAGTCCGCAAGGATTTGATGTGCTTGCAGCTGGCATGTATAACTGTATAATACTGTATAACTGTATAACCGAAACAGATCTAGTTGACCTGGCCAACGCTGAGGTTTAAACCTGTACTGGTCCTCCCGGCCAGCAAACTGCACCACAACACAAATAAACTTCTGCTTCCTGCGCATCTTAAGGAGTCGGTAAGTTGCAATGAATTTATCATGGACACTTTGAAATACCTTGGATACCGTCACAGCACAAAGAGGATTTTCCGAGCAACATTTTGTTACTGTTGTTGTGATTTCATATAGAGTCTTGCCAGGTGAAGACTATCCAGTACAAGCGAGTCACTGTGGAGTCTGCTGAAAGTGGTCAGCATTGATTTCAAAGCGCAAAAAAGCCAGAGATATTCCATCTGTTGATGCGTCACAAAGCAATATTTTGGAACATTTTGGACCGGATTTTGATAATTTCCAGGTTTTCACGGGCGCTGTAGAACCACCCAACGAGCTGAGTAATGGAGCTTTGAAATCTTGGCCACACGAAGTACTCCCTCAGAAGTCTGGCAGGTTGTTGCACTGCTTGGTCAAAATCAAAACTCGATTTGTCACAGTTGTTATATGTCCATATCAATCCTTATCATGGTTGTCACCGTTGTCACCCAGTCCCATTCTTGATTGCTCAGGCATTGCAGCTTCGCCTTGCGATCTTTGGTGAAGAGGGACTGTCCGAAATCCACTTCCCACATCTCCAATCATCTCCATTCGTTTGTGCACATTGGTCGCTCGGTCACCCCTTCTCCCAAAGCGAAGGATTGTGAAGCAGCATTTGTGCCGTTGGACTGTTCTCCAGGAAACCCTGAAGAAGAACATGTTCAGAAAAGGTATGGTTTCGATCTCAGCTGCTTTCAGATTGACAAGGCTGATATTGATGTGTCATTGACTCTGTTCACAGACACTTCATGCGCAAATGCACTTAGGCGTTTGGGATTCTGTATTTCATTACACACACATACACATACGAGTCGGCACCCGCCACATCTGTTAATTTCCGGCAGAGAAGACGTGCGCAGATGGTGCAATTATGGAAAGATCATGTCATTTCATGCAAAGTGTTTGCAAACTCCAAGACGAACAATTACAATTGACCATCACTGACCACGACCAGCTCAGGTCTTGCTGGGTCCTGAAATCCAACCACGAGCCGTTTGGTCCTTCAAGGCTGAGGCTCGCAAAACAGAAAACGCTCACCAAAGCTGATGTATTTTCTACATTTTTTTGCACATTATTACTCAACCTGGCATTGTGAGTCCTATTATTTTGGTTGGGGGTGGTCCTTTTTCTGAAAGAGGGGCAAAGGAACTGGTGTTCTCACTCATTGCAACATATTGAAGCACATCGTAGAAAGGCTTCGGCGCGCCAGTGGCAGCTGTTTTGGGATCAAATCTTTTTCCCTCTGCCGTGCGGCTGCCCCAAACGTGCCATGGTCATCAAAACCGACTTGTGCAGCTACACTGAGTAACTTGGCCGGCTTGTAGTGCCCTGATTTGCAGTGTCTTTGGTTCCTTTTCCTTTACACTCAGTCTCACTGAGCCTCATCTACTCTTGCGGATGGACGATGCTGGCAATGCAACGATGCAAGTCTAGAAGTCTAGAAGCTTCAATCTTTCTATATCTTTCTTGCCGCACTGAGGTACAGGATCTATCCAGGCCATGGGCAGAAGTTCGTGGCAAAGGATGCCAAGGTGAGGTACTCTGACCATCTCTGACCATTTCTGACCCAGGGCAGGGAGCGCTGAGCCAGCTGAGTCAGCTGAGTCAGCTGAGCCGAGGTGAGCTTCTTCATCAATGCCAAGGCTGACTCCTTGTTCCACCAGCGAATCAAGCCAGTGCCTTGTCTCAATACCTTAGACTTTAGACCTTGGTGGTACCCAACCTTGGCCCAGAAGAATTTAGGATGTAGTAGAAAGGGCCGCGTGGATTCAGCTCACTGTTCTACTGCTCCGAAATTCGTTTGATGTTGAGAATGCGACGTCCACGTTGCCAAAGGTTTTTTTGTGATACTGCATATCTGGCTTTGTCTCTGAGGTGAAGCTTCGATGGACCCAAGCGTGGCGTCGAATGAACAAGAAACTCGGCCGGCAGAAAGGCAGAACTTTAATGCAACATTAAGGGCTTTGATGCTTTTTAGTGATTGGCCTAACTTGCAAGACTCAGACAGGACTGCTATGGCACCACAATGTGAACAACTACAGAGATTGCCGACAGAAAGTGCTTCCACAACTGCTTGCATTTTGTCCAAGGAAGGGAAAGATGGAAGAGGGTGGCAAAAAGAAAGCGCGCAAGGTGCTTGCTCTGATGGTTTCGTTCATAGAATTTGACATTGAGGAGGTAAAGTCTTGCCGTCTGCGCATGTATGTGCAACATGGGGACTTTGTCCGTCCTAGCTAAACAAATTACCGACACATCTGACTTGCTTCAGGTCAAAACAATGTTCCAGAATCTTTTTCAAGCTCGCAACGTCGATCCAAAAGATTGTCAGATTCTTCCTCTGAGCTGTTGAGTGTTTTGATTCTGCTAAGAGTTTCCAAGGGGAGAAGCTACCAATTTCAATCCCGTGTCCCTGTCTCCTCGCAAGTCTGTGCCTTTTCCAAGACACTGAGAATGGAGGCGCAGAAGTTCCAGAAGGCAATCGTAGGCATGTCCCTGGATGACATCAAGAAGAAGCAACTTGGCAGCAAACCTCACAGGCCGCCAGGCCTTTCTTCTGAGATCGATTCCTGGCAAGAATTTTGCAAGAGATAATGTACTTATTATGTACTTAATGTAGAAGTTGTTTTTGGGTCAGAGTGAATGCAAATCGAACACAGTGGAGAAATCTCAGCTTTGTCCTTACTCAAATCTCAAACAGGAAAGCCCAGAAGCCAGAGCTGCGTCAAGCACGCGAGCAAGCAGCCAAGGATGCTTGAGCTTTCTTGGTTTTCTTGTACCTCAGTTCTGTTTTTTTTGTCAAAGCTGATAGAATTCACCTGTGGGCCACAACTCAAACGCACACATGCACTTTGCAAAAATGGACTAGTTGCCGGGTTACCGTGGTGAGCAAATTTTGGTCACCTGTAAACGAGGAGGCGAAGGCCAAGCAAATGGCACAGAAGAAAGCCTCCAGCAGCAGATGCCTTGGTTTTCCCTTTGGCATGTGGAATATTGCACAACGCACAGGATATCTTGCTTCGGTTCGGACTTTGGACCCAATGTTACAGGGATCAGATCACCATATCAAAGGATATGATATCAAAGGTGTATTCGGGGTGGACACTCAGCATTCTGCACCAGGCAAGCCAGCAGTCCCCAAGGGCAAGGCTGACAAGGTTGGGGCTTTCAGTGGAAATCGTGGCGAATTTCTGCTTTCTTCATGGCCCCTTTGTCGGTCTCTAAAATTGCAGCGAAATCCATTGAAACATATTGAAACATGGTTTAGGCCTTTAGGCGCTTTAGGTATCTGAAGGTCACCATGTGAGCTCGATCGGTCACCAGTCTGCAGCACCAATTACCATCTACCTCGATCTCCCACGACTGAGTCTCAGAAGTTGCCGAAGGGTGGAGGTGCACCAGCAGGAGGCACCGTTGTGACATGTTTTGTTTTCCGCGGTTCCACGGTTTCTTTTCTTTTCGCTGTTTTTCCATTGAGGTAGCTGCAAATCTCTGACTCTACCCGGTAGAAACAGTACAAAGTAACACTGCTTTATCAAGGAGTAAGTCACTGCCAAGTGCAGAAGGAGTGGATTTATTCAACTTATTCTTCTCTTGTTATTCTCGCATGATGGATTCACACGGTTTTGGATGAGTGTCTTGGGACCGTTTGGTTGAGCTGAAGTGGTTTCGTGGTTGAAACATGATGACAAACTTAACAAGAGTATTGCAAAAAACCTCATGCCGTTCTCTTTCTTTTTAACGTGTCCGCAGTTGCATGTCCCAGTATGGATCGTGGGAAGTTCCCTTTGCTTCCCTCTACCGAATTGAACTAGACATGCTTGTGACATGTCTTGAGCTGCTTGTTGGCTTTGGAACGATAGGTTCCAAGAACTTTAAAGGCAAGAAGTGAGAGACCTGCACGTCCCAAATCAGCTGTTGCTTGCGGTGAAAATAGGCGCATGTCATGGCCAGTCCGGACATCTTTGGAAAGCGGTGCTGTTGATCTCCAAGCTGACACCGGCGTGACACGGGAAAACCCTTTCCCTGAAATATGTGCGGGTAGTCGTTGTATTGATGCGGCTCACAATATTGCTGCTTGGCATGACCCCACAGTGAAGTGCTACTTGGATTTGTCAGGGCAGATTTGGATGGTCTTTTATTGTTATTATCATCATTATTTGTTACTGTTGTTGTTGTTGTTGTTGTCGTCGTCGTCGTCGTCTTCTTTGTTGTCGTCGTCGTCGTCGCCGTGGAGATGCAGATTGAGACAGGCTGTTTTGTCTCTTCAAACACATCGTAGAAAGGCTTCGGCGCGCCAGTGGCAGCTGTTTTGGGATCAAATCTTTTTCCCTCTGCCGTGCGGCTGCCCCAAACGTGCCATGGTCATCAAAACCGACTTGTGCAGCTACACTGAGTAACTTGGCCGGCTTGTAGTGCCCTGATTTGCAGTGTCTTTGGTTCCTTTTCCTTTACACTCAGTCTCACTGAGCCTCATCTACTCTTGCGGATGGACGATGCTGGCAATGCAACGATGCAAGTCTAGAAGTCTAGAAGCTTCAATCTTTCTATATCTTTCTTGCCGCACTGAGGTACAGGATCTATCCAGGCCATGGGCAGAAGTTCGTGGCAAAGGATGCCAAGGTGAGGTACTCTGACCATCTCTGACCATTTCTGACCCAGCGCAGCGAGCGCTGAGCCAGCTGAGTCAGCTGAGCCGAGGTGAGCTTCTTCATCAATGCCAAGGCTGACTCCTTGTTCCACCAGCGAATCAAGCCAGTGCCTTGTCTCAATACCTTAGACTTTAGACCTTGGTGGTACCCAACGTTGGCCCAGAAGAATTTAGGATGTAGTAGAAAGGGCCGCGTGGATTCAGCTCACTGTTCTACTGCTCCGAAATTCGTTTGATGTTGAGAATGCGACGTCCACGTTGCCAAAGGTTTTTTTGTGATACTGCATATCTGGCTTTGTCTCTGAGGTGAAGCTTCGATGGACCCAAGCGTGGCGTCGAATGAACAAGAAACTCGGCCGGCAGAAAGGCAGAACTTTAATGCAACATTAAGGGCTTTGATGCTTTTTAGTGATTGGCCTAACTTGCAAGACTCAGACAGGACTGCTATGGCACCACAATGTGAACAACTACAGAGATTGCCGACAGAAAGTGCTTCCACAACTGCTTGCATTTTGTCCAAGGAAGGGAAAGATGGAAGAGGGTGGCAAAAAGAAAGCGCGCAAGGTGCTTGCTCTGATGGTTTCGTTCATAGAATTTGACATTGAGGAGGTAAAGTCTTGCCGTCTGCGCATGTATGTGCAACATGGGGACTTTGTCCGTCCTAGCTAAACAAATTACCGACACATCTGACTTGCTTCAGGTCAAAACAATGTTCCAGAATCTTTTTCAAGCTCGCAACGTCGATCCAAAAGATTGTCAGATTCTTCTGAGCTGTTGAGTGTTCTGATTCTGCTATGAAGAGTTTCCAAGGGGAGAAGCTACCAATTTCAATCCCGTGTCCCTGTCTCCTCGCAAGTCTGTGCCTTTTCCAAGACTGAGAATGGAGGCGCAGAAGTTCCAGAAGGCAATCGTAGGCATGTCCCTGGATGACATCAAGAAGAAGCAACTTGGCAGCAAACCTCACAGGCCGCCAGGCCTTTCTTCTGAGATCGATTCCTGGCAAGAATTTTGCAAGAGATAATGTACTTATTATGTACTTAATGTAGAAGTTGTTTTTGGGTCAGAGTGAATGCAAATCGAACACAGTGGGGAAATCTCAGCTTTGTCCTTACTCAAATCTCAAACAGGAAAGCCCAGAAGCCAGAGCTGCGTCAAGCACGCGAGCAAGCAGCCAAGGATGCTTGAGCTTTCTTGGTTTTCTTGTACCTCAGTTCTGTTTTTTTTGTCAAAGCTGATAGAATTCACCTGTGGGCCACAACTCAAACGCACACATGCACTTTGCAAAAATGGACTAGTTGCCGGGTTACCGTGGTGAGCAAATTTTGGTCACCTGTAAACGAGGAGGCGAAGGCCAAGCAAATGGCACAGAAGAAAGCCTCCAGCAGCAGATGCCTTGGTTTTCCCTTTGGCATGTGGAATATTGCACAACGCACAGGATATCTTGCTTCGGTTCGGACTTTGGACCCAATGTTACAGGGATCAGATCACCATATCAAAGGATATCAAAGGTGTATTCGGGGTGGACACTCAGCATTCTGCACCAGGCAAGCCAGCAGTCCCCAAGGGCAAGGCTGACAAGGTTGGGGCTTTCAGTGGAAATCGTGGCGAATTTCTGCTTTTTTCATGGCCCCTTTGTCGGTCTCTAAAATTGCAGCGAAATCCATTGAAACATATTGAAACATGGTTTAGGCCTTTAGGCGCTTTAGGTATCTGAAGGTCACCATGTGAGCTCGATCGGTCACCAGTCTGCAGCACCAATTACCATCTACCTCGATCTCCCACGACTGAGTCTCAGAAGTTGCCGAAGGGTGGAGGTGCACCAGCAGGAGGCACCGTTGTGACATGTTTTGTTTTCCGCGGTTTCTTTTCTTTTCGCTGTTTTTCCATTGAGGTAACTGCAAATCTCTGACTCTACCCGGTAGAGTGCTTGCTTCCTTTTGAACAAGACTAGTAGGTGATGGCAAAAACACCGGATTATGTCACTGTATGTCACTGATGTCAGGGAAATTGCCAGGGGCATCTCCTAGGAAGTTTTGAATCGAGACTAATGTTAGTCTCCCCATTTCCAGGTTCGGTTCTTGTCTGAAAATCATTGAAAATGAGCTGGCAGATTCTCCCAACTAATTCTTCAATCATGAAGGATATTTCAAAAGCAGACAATTTTTCTATCACTGATATTCTGTGCTTAAGAACTTAAGATGTTTAAGTCTGAAAGTCTCTACCGAAGGCTCCAAGAACTTCAAGGGCAAAAAGTGAGTGCTGCACATCCAATCCAAAACAGCTGTTGCGTGCGGTGAGGAAAAAAATGAAACACGGCCTTGCTGTGAGGAAAGCGTCCTGTAAGTTTTGGTGTTGACATGTGTTGACGAGTTATCAGCAGAGGGTTTCCTTTGTTGTCAATTGTCCACTGCCATAAACTGGGATGTTTTGTGAATTCACAACACACTTTCTTACTGTTTATGCAGTGTCATCTTTGAATCGTTAGTGATTCATAGGACGGCTCTTGGGGACTTCGAAGCAAATGAACAGAGAGCATGCAGGTGGTGATCTTGCACCATGCTACAACCATCAGAGAAGGATACCAGGCGGAAGTGTTTGCCCATGAAGCAGTTTCTCAGGTTGTGGCAGTTGGAATTTGCTTTTTTTTTCCTGTGCTGCGAGTAAACGTGTCTCACATCGCGTGAGATCCTTGCCTTGCATGCTGGCAGCGTTACCAGGCCATGATTCACTGCGGCATCATCCGCCTGATCCCCAGAGAAACTGAAGCAAGATAAGCAACACAGTTTGGCAGCAGCCAGTTTTGATCGGATAGGAGGAGCGGAATGTGCACTCCTAAAGATAGCATCAAATCCTATCCATTGGAATGACCAAGACGATCTTCCTGTGGTGGCTTGCGCGATGGTCACTGGAAAGGATGGTGTTTGACCTTTAAAGATTTTGCACTTTACATTGATTCTATTGAGATTGACTTTGCACGCGTACATGCACAAATAATTGATTGAACTTGTGCGGAGACCAACATGATGGAGACTAGATGACTCCCCTCCAGCTCTAGCGCTCTCTCAGGCTCTCTCCCCCCAGATTTGTCTATCCATCACCTTCAAAATACAGTCTGACTCAGCCTGACTGAGCGAGACAGACCCAAAAGAACCTTAGTGTGTTGCATCGCAATACATACACTATACAAATAGAATCATATAGATATGAATATATGTATATATTATATAATTAAATATATATATATATAAATATAAATATATACACGAATATCTATCTCTATATATATAATATAGATATTCGCGTATGTATGTATGTATGTATAAATATATATGATATAGATATTGATATATATATATATAAAGATAGAAATATACATACAGAGGTATCCGCTGATTTTTGCACTCCCCTTGGCACAGTTTAGGCAGCTCTTGAGCTGGGACAGTGGACTTTTGGTGGTGCAAGTATGCGCAGTCCGGTTATTTGTGCATAGATCGGGGCGCTCTTGCGATAGATTGGCTATGCTCGCTTGTGCGAACATCCCGTGCGATGTGTTGTCCTTCACTCTCAGCCAGCGAGCTTTGAGGCCAATGTGCGGCTGTGAAGCACATGTCCTGCGAGCTGCTGCGTTCTGGCGATAAGGTTCGCTTTTTGCATCATTTTTGCTGTGGCATGTCGAATGTTAAATCCTTCACCAAAAATCATCAAAACTTCTGAGATCAAAGGATTGCATGTCGTTCATGTGACAGAAGGACTTCTCACAGACAAAGGCTTTCCGCCGCCATTGCAACAGGTGTTGTCGACTCTGTCAGGCCATTGTGACGTTCCGCTGGTGTTATCACGCCGAGTACGTTAGCTTGGGACTCAGCCGCGCTTCCAGTCTGTCATCTGGAAGCTCCTTTAATGCGAGCCACATGATACTGCGCACATATATGTATATATTTATATATTAGCATTTTATTTTTCATATATATATATACATACATTTTTATACACATACATTATTATAGACACATACACACACACATATACATTGTATACATGTATATATAATATTCTAATACCCTCAACTACTTAAGGTCTAGAAGGCCCCCCCCTGGAGGGGCTAGGGTCTAGAGGTCTAGACTGATAATTAGGGCATTGTAGACCTGTCCCAGTGGTACCACTCTAGACCCTTGGAATTTGGAGGTTTTGAAGCTAGCAAAAAATGAAATATAAAATCATAGCATTCTGGGGCCCTACTGTCAGGAAGCCATATTTTTTTTGGTTCACCCCAAATCCCTAGCAACACAGTTTGGAAGCAAAAATAAAGGGATTCTGAAAGAGAGGTTCTGGAACAGGTTTATTTTTTCGACCAATCTTTTTCAAATCTATCATCACCCATCTTTTGCATCCCAGAAAATGTTACGCAATTCATCATCAGGCTGAGAAGTCTGATAATTCAGCGTCGGACTGATCTCTCTTTATTACAAGGAATTTATTTTCTTGAAAACAAATTGCAACAGTTTTGAACCACCTGTTTTTCGTTTGTCCTGACCCGGTTGGATGTGATAGAATGGAGATCAGACATACCCTCAAGATCGCGGTGCCTAAAAATGCCGTTGAGGGTTCTAAAATCATAGAGGGTATGATTTTAGAATCCTGAGAGGCTATCAAATCAGAACCTTGAAAGTATATGAGCCTTGTTGTGGTATAAATTGATTTCAACAGACCACAAGAAAAGGTCATTGATTTGGAGCGCAGAAAAAGAAAACAAGTCGTGATGAGGTATTTGCACAAAGGTGCAAAACATGTGTGGAATTAGCATCCCCGGTTTTGGTCGATCAAGATTTCCATTTTCAAAACTTCAAAACTAGGTGATTTCGATGTTGCTTGGTTTGAACATCACCCGAAAACAAGGCAAAACAATGACCAACCTGCAGCAATGTGCAATAACAAAGATGTAAAATTAATCTCCGGCAACATCTTCAGCTGAATTATCATGAGCTTTACTTCAACATGATATGGCATTACCTCCAACCTCCCACATATGCCAGTTTGATTTGGAAGAAACAAATGCCAGGCCAAGTTGTGATGAGCAACCTGCAGTGACGTGCTTCCAACAACCACCTCCAGTCTTTAGATACCAACACTTTTGGTCCAGCCAAGGCGTTTGGAAAAACAATGCAGGGTCTATCATCATTTTCCCCAGGTCAATGCGGTTCAATTGTTTTTCTAAGCTTGGAGGGAACCATTCCAGACCCAGAGGTGCTGACACGTGGCCAGCCATAACCCAACTTAACCTTCCTTTGACACCTCTTCTACTTCTACATCCCTTTGCAAGTTTGTTTTCATTTATCATCTCCATTCTGTAGGTACCAAAACTTTTGGTCCAACCAAAGCGTTTGGAAAACATGCAGGGTCTATCATCATTTTCCCCAGGTCCATGCGGTTCAATTGTTTTTCTAAGCTTGGAGGGAACCATTCCAGACCCAGAGGTGCTGACATGTGGCCAGCCATAACCCAACTTAACCTTCCTTTGACACCTCTTCTACTTCTACATCCCTTTGCACGCTTGTTTTCATTTATCATCTCCATTCTGTAGATGCCAACGCTTTTGGTCCAACCAAGGCGTTTGGAAAAAAATGCAGGGTCTATCATCATTTTCCCCAGGTCAATGCGGTTCAATTGCTTTTCTAAGCTTGGAGGGAACCATTCCAGACCCAGAGGTGCTGACACGTGGCCAGCCATAACCCAACTTAACCTTCCTTTGACACCTCTTCTACTTCTACATCCCTTTGCAAGTTTGTTTTCATTTATCATCTCCATTCTGTAGGTACCAAAACTTTTGGTCCAACCAAAGCGTTTGGAAAACATGCAGGGTCTATCATCATTTTCCCCAGGTCCATGCGGTTCAATTGTTTTTCTAAGCTTGGAGGGAACCATTCCAGACCCAGAGGTGCTGACATGTGGCCAGCCATAACCCAACTTAACCTTCCTTTGACACCTCTTCTACTTCTACATCCCTTTGCACGCTTGTTTTCATTTATCATCTCCATTCTGTAGATGCCAACGCTTTTGGTCCAACCAAGGCGTTTGGAAAAAAATGCAGGGTCTATCATCATTTTCCCCAGGTCAATGCGGTTCAATTGCTTTTCTAAGCTTGGAGGGAACCATTCCAGACCCAGAGGTGCTGACATGTGGCCAGCCATAACCCAACTTAACCTTCCTTTGACACCTCTTCTACTTCTACATCCCTTTGCAAGTTTGTTTTCATTTATCATCTCCATTCTGTAGGTACCAAAACTTTTGGTCCAACCAAAGCGTTTGGAAAACATGCAGGGTCTATCATCATTTTCCCCAGGTCCATGCGGTTCAATTGTTTTTCTAAGCTTGGAGGGAACCATTCCAGACCCAGAGGTGCTGACATGTGGCCAGCCATAACCCAACTTAACATTCCTTTGACACATCTTCTACTTCTACATCCCTTTGCACGCTTGTTTTCATTTATCATCTCCATTCTGTAGGTGCCAACGCTTTTGGTCCAACCAAGGCGTTTGGAAAAAAATGCAGGGTCTATCATCATTTTCCCCAGGTCAATGCGGTTCAATTGTTTTTGTAAGCTTGGAGGGAACCATTCCAGACCCAGAGGTGCTGACATGTGGCCAGCCATAACCCAACTTAACCTTCCTTTGACACCTCTTCTACTTCTACATCCCTTTGCAAGTTTGTTTTCATTTAACATCTCCATTCTGTAGGTACCAAAACTTTTGGTCCAACCAAAGCGTTTGGAAAACATGCAGGGTCTATCATCATTTTCCCCAGGTCAAAGTGTTTCAAGCTGTTTCTAAAGCTTGGAGGCAAGCATTCCAGACCTACAGGTGCTGACTGTTGGCCAGCCATAGCCCAACTTAGCCTTCCTTTGACACATCTTCTACTTCTACATCCCTTTGCACGTTTGTTTTCATTTATCATCCCCATTCTGTAGATACAAACACTTTTGGTCCAACCAAGGCGTTTGAAAAAAATACAGGGTCTATCATCATTTTCCCAGGTCAATGCATTTCAATCTGTTTTTAAAGCTTGGAGGGAGCCATTCCAGACCCACAGGTGCTGACATGTGGCCAGCCATAACCCAACTTAACCTTCCTTTGGCACCTCTTCTACTTCTACACCCCTTTGCACATGTGTTTTCATCCACCATCTCCTTTCTTTAGATACCAACACTTTTGGTCCAACCAAGGCATTTGGAAAAAATGCAGGGTCTATCATCATATTTCCCAGGCCAATGCATTTCAATCTGTTTTTCTAAGCTTGGAGGGAACCATTCCAGACCCAGAGGTGCTGACATGTGGCCAGCCATAACCCAACTTAACCTTCCTTTGACACCTCTCCTACTTCCACATCCCTTTGCACATGTGTTTTCATCCACCATCTCCTTTCTTTAGATACCAACACGTTTGGTCCAACCAAGGCGTTTGGAAAAAATGCAGGGTCTATCATCATATTCCCCAGGCCAATGCATTTCAATCTGTTTTTAAAGCTTGGAGGGAACCATTCCAGACCCACAGGTGCTGACTGTTGGCCAGCCATAACCAACTTGGCCTTCCTTGCACATTTGTTTTCATCCACCATCTGCATTCTGTAGATGCCAACACTTCTGGTTCAGCCAAGGCGTTTGAAAAAAAAACGAGATCTATCATCATTTTTCCCAGGTCAATGCGTTTCAATCTGTTTTTAAAGCTTGGAGGGAACCATTCTAGACTCACAGGCGCTGATATGTGACCAGCCATATTCCAACTTAGCCATGCTTTGACACATCTTCTACAGTCTACATTTTTTTGCATCCTTTTTGTTACCCACCACCTCCTTTCTTTTGATAGCAACACATCTGATAAAGAACTTTCGGAGAACAACGAAGAAGGAGAGATTGATAACTCTCAGTAAATTTTGAGACTGGTCATGGTCCAGTCGATTTTTCCTTTCACAAGCGATGATCTTGCACACCGCTTGCCAAAACAAGGTGAGGGCACGGTGGCTTCAATAGATGACTGAACGACGCAATCTTTGTGGGGAAGCGTACAGGTTGCAATCCAATTTTGCATCCGTCCCGACGTTGCTTTAAAAAATGTTCTGCAGTTCTGCATATATTTTCCGGAAAAGGTGGGCCTGACGCGGCCTAGGAAAAACGGCAAAAAATAGAAAATCTAAAGCATTGCGATGACCTGAACCGCGCACTGCGTGTGGGAGGACAAAGGCAATATGCAAATGAAACGCAGCATGTGTTCAACACAAAACAGAAGAATACATGTCATTTTTCAATAATTTTATGGCTTGCAGGAACACGATTTTAGAACCCCACCATGCGTAGACGTTGGGGTTCTATTCTGCTCTCCGTTGAGGGATGTCAAAAGCCTTGGGTTTTTTGAAATCTTGTTTGATCTTGAGGGTATGATCAAACTGAAGTGTCTTGTCGCTTGGGATTACGAAACGCCCACCAGTGGCACATGCAAAAATGAAATGTGTTCGGTGCACATGAAAAGTTGGATTTTTAGGAGCATATGTAGAGACAGTGGGAAAACCATAGTAGACCTTAAATACTGGACCAGCCCAAAGGTCTAGATGAACGAAATTATTTTTACATTCCCCCTGGCCAAACAACCTTTTAGACCCCACGTTTAGGGTCTACATTACAGTAACCCACCCCGCCCCCCAAGTAGCTGAGGGTATATATTCTATACATATACATATATATATATATATGCCTGTTATCCAATTTTCACCATGAGAGCACCATGGCTGCAAGATTTCGGACTCAAGCTGTATGCATACGTGGCCCTTGGATTTCCTTCGCGAGCTGCGCTTTTGGCATACCAACGATTGCCTGATCTCTCTCCCCTTGCTCCTGCTGGTCAGTGGATTGGCCTGGTTCCTTGGCTTACTAACTGGTGGGTTCTTAGCAGTGCTGGTGCTGAGTCCTTCCTGCCGGCGACTTTTGGTGCTCGCATTGCATAGCATCATAGGCCTGATTGCACCAGCTCCTGGGCCTGGGGGTCAAGATCTGCGCATTCGACTGGCTGGTTATCGGACTCATACCGCATGAGCCAGGAGTCTGACGTTGCTGAGATCTTATTTCAGTTTGAAGGGCTCACAATTTCTGTGAAGAGAAATTCTGATAGCACACAGCTTTCTTCACCACCCAGGTCAACGGTTTAGGTTCAGGGTTTGGTCACTCGCCACAAGGAGCATCCCTTGCTAGGTCCTCTGGGCCTGCCAGGTCTGACTCTAGTTGGACTGTGCCATCAGGCAGTGATCCTGGTCCTGAAGGCGAACGAGCTGAGCCTTGGTCTTCTCAGTGGCGCGCTGAGTTGGTGGGCGCCTGCACTCCTGAGCAGCTGCTGGACCTTGATTTGTCTCCGCTGGAATCTTGGGTGCCTCGCCTCAGTGCTTGTGGTGAGTGGTCTCCATTAGCCAGGTTGGGACGTGGCTTGAGAGCTGGTGTTGCAGCCCGCATTCGTCTGAGCGGCGAGTCGACTGCAGTGTGTGAGTCTCCCAGGTTGGCTGTGCAGAATCGGATCTACGTGGTGCTTCGAGCGGCCCCGCCTCACGCATCTGGGTGGACTACATCCTACAACATCTACGTCTCCAAGGTGCGGGGCAGTGCTGGCGAGAGGTTCCATCGTGACAGTGTGTCGCACGCCTTTGCTAGCCGTGCTGAAGCTTCTGCTTACGTTCTGGGCGCCGGTTGCTCATGGCCGCCGGAGTACCAGGCAAGCGTTTGAGTGAGAAGGGAGTGCGGTCGCTGCTTGGGGTATCAGCGGCTGGCTATTCAGCATTAGCCCCAGTCCTCTTCTGCCCAGTTGAGGGGGACACAGTTTTGTTCAATTCTGTGGCTTATTTGGTGAAATGTCGGTCTGGCGGCTTCATGTTTTTGGTGCCCGACGTTCCAGAGGTGACCGACTTTGTCACTGCTCAGGAAGATGTGTTTGGATGCAGGACTTGCACCATCACCGTGGAGCTTCCTCGTGGCAAACGCACCTCAGAAGAGAATGCAGTGTTGGTGGATGCAACTTGGGATCAAGTTTCTTCTTTCACCCGATGGTCGCCCCTTCGTGGCGACGAAGTAGAAACTGTGCATCGCTTCTATGTGGGGCAAAGCGCGGGCAGACCATCCGCGGAGGCGGTGATGGCGGCCGCAGATGCTTGGATCCACGATGCCATGGACGACGACACCGCTGGAGACTATGTGACCGGCGACAGCGGCTTAGAGGGTTTTGCAGAACCTCCAGATTCGGCCGCTCCGCCGCACGGTGGAACCGTGGAGCAGGATGCTGTGCTTCAAATGCAGCAGCGTATCCTCGAGCTAGAGACTCGCCTGGGGACTCTCCAAGGCAGTGCCGCTCTCCATGCTACTCCAAAGGCTGGTGGTTTGCAGCTGCTTTCTTCTCCGTCTCAACCAGCGGATGCTCAGGTGCTTCAAAGATTGCGAGCATTGGCAGGTTCTGGGCCAGGACGTCTTGGCGCTCACGAACGTACTGCTCGCGCAGAACGGCCGGAGGTGGCGTTCGACAATGCTCTGCAAGAGGAGATGCTGGGGGCTACAGAGGAGGACGAGCTGCACGAAGCTCTGGCTACTACGCTGGAAGAGGTGCAGGATCCTATGCAGCGCCTTCTGGTACTACAGACGCAGCAGCTGAGCATGTTGTCAAAGCATCTCACAGCCAAGAACCTGGACCCAATTCAGAAAGCTCTGGGGGGCTCCGATGCAAGCGGCAGTTCAAGCTCAGGAGTCCGCGGCTGTCTGGCGCGGGATGCCTTTTTGAAGATGAGCCAAGATCTTCCTCGACTAGCCAGTGTGGGGGGAGCAGCAGATTCTGACCGACCTCGGTCTCCAAGCGCCAGCCGGGTTAACACCAGGCCTCCTCCAGGATTACATGGAAAGGCGCATACCTCTGGGCGATCATCGGCTGCTTACTATGATGGGGTATCTGATGTGCCATGCTTACGAGGTAGGAGCGCGATCTGGAAATCGGGAGCTGCAGGGCTTTGCAATGAAGGGCATGACGTTTGTGGATCAGGCGTCGATAGATGCAGGCCGTACTCAATTAGCATGGCTTTTGACAGGCCTGCCGGAGCCAAACTATCAAGTTTGCCAGAGGAACAAGCAGAGAGCTCAGTTGCAACCTTTCTCCAAACTGACATCGGCGACTGCAGTGGCAGCCAATGTGTCTTACCTGAAGGATCTGGACTTTTTGGAAGGGCGGATCCAAGCAGCTGGAAAGCAAACCAAAGCTTCTCCTCAGGGGGACGAAAAGACCGAGGTGACACCAAAGCCAAAAAGGAAAGGCAAGGGAAAAGGAAAGGGGTCTCCCAGCCCAGCCGGCGAAGAGGCCACTACAGCTCCGAGCTGAAGTCTGAGGCAGTGCACCCAGAGCTGTTGTCCCATGATGACCTTTGTGGGATGCATTCGGGCAGTACGAAGTTGCTGTCTGACTTTGAAGTGCCTGCAACAATTCAGTGCATTGAGATCATGCGGGTGGTCTTGCAGTTAGTTGGCCAGAGTCATTCTGGCTTAGGTGAGTTCCTGCGCCGAAGTCTTTTTCGCAGGAAGTCATCAGCTCCTCGCCATGTTTGCGGCAGTTGTACTTCTGCCGATATATGGCCCTGTCCCCCACCGCTGTGGCGATGGACGGGCCCAGCTAAGCTCTCCCCCCGGCGTCGCAAGAGAAGGAAGTTTTTAGAGACCAGGGCGAAGTTGTTGCAAGTTGTCATCATTGTTCTCAATTGGCTTAGTTTGGGGTACCCAAAATACCCCTCAACTGTGTGCGAGTTGGGTGCCAAAATCAGTGATCAGCAGCATGCCATGATTGAGCGTCTGGAGAGCCTGGTGGGCTATTTTCTTCTTGCAGAACCCGTAGCTGCGGCCGAGCTAGGCCGGGCAGGGGAAAAGCTGAGCAAAATTTGTGATGCAGTAATTCAACTCCCTTCCACTGTTCCAGACATCAGTTGGGATGAGATGGCAAGTTTTTTAGATATGATTCACCGGGATTTTGATCCATACAGCAGTACAGCAGCTGCCCCTGACCAGCAAACTCACCATGATGCTTCTGGTGAACCAGTTCCAGATCAAAACCGTCAGCTTGGTGTAGATGTTCCGCTGAGTGTTTCTCCAGCAAAGCCAGTCATTGCGGAGCGCATCAAATGGAAGCTAGGACCCACTTTCAACCCTGAGCCTTTTTTGGTTGATCCTGTTGTTCAAGCTGCTTTCAAAGACCCTGATGTCTTGCGTAAACCTGCAACTGACTGGCCAGCCAAGCGGAGAGCGCGAGTGCATTGCGACCGAGCTGAACTGAAGAAGCTGGCGGAAAAGTGGGACAAGCTGGGCGCCTGCGCCCTTATTCCTGTGCATTGTGTACCTGAAGATGAAGCAGTAGGGTTATTTGCTGTTAACAAAGACAGTGAGTATGACCGGCTTATCGTCAATCCTACAGTGGTAAACTCTCGGATGTATGGTTGCAATACGTATACAAAGACTTTAGCTCCTGGGCATCTTATTGGCTTGATACGGCTGCATGCGGATGAGTGTCTTGCAATTTCCTCTGATGACCTTTGTGAGTTTTACTATACTTTCCGTGTTTCCCCCCAAAGAGCTGCAAGGAATGCGATTGGCACTGTTTTTCTGGGAAAAGAGTTTGAAGGTTTTTCATGCTATGACCCTCAGTATGCAGACCAGTCTGTTTACATTTGCCTGCGTACACTTGCGATGGGTGACAGCCTTGCAGTGGAGATAGCACAGCAATCACACTTTAACCTACTGCGTACAATAGCTGACAGTATGAGGCCGGATGAGATTTTACAATATAGACATCCCATTCCTCGTGGTCCCTTTTATGAACTTCTGACTATAGATGATCATATAGGTCTTCACAAGCTGTCATGTACTCCAAGGTGGGATCCTGCCAAAAATGACCGGGATTTGGAAGTGTTTGCTAGGGCTGAGTTGGCGTATAACACAGTGGGTTTGGTAGCCCACCCTGGCAAGAAGCAGCGTCGCGTTTTCTCTGCCACAGTCCTTGGTGCTGAAATTGATGGTATTGCTGGCAGATGTTCGGCTCCACGAAACAGGGTTGCACTCCTCATGCTACTCACCAGTTTCGTTGTGATCAAGCGTTGTGCAACCAGGAAAATACTGCAATGTTTGTTGGGATGTTGGATTCATGTATGTTTATTCAGGCGTCCTACTTTTGCAGTGCTGGAACAAGTTTTTCATGAGGGGGTCGGCTTGCCAATTCACCAACCTTTTTAGCTGAGCGCGATGGCGGTGAATGAGCTGCTTGCGCTGTTACTGCTTGGTCCTCTGATTCAAGCGGATCTTCGGGTGTCAGTCACTGAGGATGTTTTCATGATGGATGCTAGTCCTTTTGGTGGCGCGCTCTGCAGAACACGTGTGGGCGCTTTTGCTGCCGAAGAGATGTGGCGTCATACAGAGCAGAGAGGTTACTATACCGCGCTTCAACATGGAGCGCGTGAAGTGCTGCATGAAAAGGGCCTGGACCACGAGGAAACCTTTGGTCCTCCCAGCGAGCAGACTGTGGACTTTGCTGTGAGTCTCTCACCGGCACCTCTGTGGCCCGGTGTCGAAGATGTGACCTTCGACTGCATTGAGCTGTTCTCTGGCTCCGGTAACTGGAGTAAGGCACATGCTGCTGAAGGTTTTCGAGTGCATCCTGGCATTGAGCGTGGTGCTACTGGTGTGAGCTTTGGTGATTTGATGGACCCAGTCACCTTTCGGAAGACGGCTGCTTTAGCTGCATCTGGAAAGGTGAAGGAGTGGCACGCTGGGCCGCCGTGCTGGTCATTTGGCACTTTACGGCGCCCGAGATTGCGGAGCAAGATGTTTCCAGCTGGCTTCAATCCTTCTGACCCGGTGACCTATGAGCAGACCATTTTAGCAATGCGTACGGCTTTCATTTTGACTTTAGCGCTCCTGAGTGGCTCCTACATTTCTGCTGAACAACCAGGGGCCTCTGTCATGTTTGAGTTGCATTGTTTCCAAGTTCTGCTTTCACTGGGTTGCTGGCTTACACGTTTTCCTTTTTGCAGTTTTGGCAGTGGCTTTAACAAGCCTTCGAAGTGGCTACACAACAAACCCTGGCTCCTGCCTTTGGAGTCTACGTGCCAATGCCGCTACAAGGGCTGCCATTTTGTCATCGAGGGCTCCTTCACACGCCAGTCCATTGAGCTTTTTGATCAGAGGTGCTCTCCAAGTGCTGCAGAGGTTTATGGTCGTGCGCCCGTCCCTGGGGAAGCAGTCAGTGCTTATTCAGCTATGTATCCTTGGTCTTTGGTGCAGCGCATGGCACGCGGCAGCAAACTGGCGAGAGATCATGGTGCACCTACGACCAGCACTGCGCAGCACACAGTGGAGCCGGAGACACGCAGAGCATGGCACGAGGATCCGGACTGGGTAAATGAGTTGTGTAATGGATCAAAGTTCACTGAGATGTTTCGGTATCGTTTTAAAAAATCAGGGCACATTAATACTCTTGAATGCAGGGTTTATAAGTCTTGGTTGAAGTTTTGTGCGAAGAGCCACCCCTGCTCGCGGGTGCTTGGAATCCTGGACAGCAGGGTCACCATGGGCGCTGCGGCAAAGGGCAGAAGCAGTTCTCGAGCTTTGAGCAGAATCCTGCGTAGCTCCTTGGGCTACGTTTTGGGTGGTTGCCTTTACCCAGGCACTTTGCACTGCAGATCTAGCTGGAACCGCGCTGATGGTCCTTCTCGTGATTCGGAAGTGCCTGGGCCTACGCGGGAGATGCCTCTCTGGTTGACCGACCTTCAGAAAGGGCAAGTCAAACGCTTTGATGTCATCATCAAGAGCGCATGCTGGAGGAATCCTCTGGGCCGCTGGGTCCGCTTGCTGTTGTTGCTTTGCGGTGACATTGAGGAGAACCCTGGACCAGCAAAAAGCTACATTCCTAGAGGTGAGCTGGACTTTGATGTCGGTTTTTCACCGGCGACCCTGGATAGGATGCAAAAATGTTTGCAGGAGTTCAGCTCATGGTTGCAGACGCGTGCGCAGACCTCTTTGGAAGCTGTGCTGATGACCGCTGAGGCGGTGGATGCAGCCTTGCGAGCCTATGGGAAGGAGTGTTTTGCTGCTGGGAAACCCAGGTACTGGCTGGTTTATGCTATTACAGCTGTTCAACATTTGCGGCCACAGTTCCGCAATTTTCTGGCTGGTGCATGGCAAGTGGACCGCAAATGGCAGATTGAAGAGCCGGGTCAATGTAGGGCAGTGTTGTCAGCTCCACTCATCCGGGCCATCATTAGTTTGTCCTTGCTCTGGGGGTGGCGCAGTTTTGCTGCGTTAGTGGCATTGGGCTTCTCTGGCATGCTCCATCCCAATGAGTTTGTCAATTTGATGCGCTCTGATTTGATTTTTCCAGAGGACACTTTGGAGCAGCGAGCTGCAATGTACATCTACATCAAAAACCCCAAGACAGCTAGGTTTGCTCGCAGACAGCATGTGAAGGTTTTGGATGATTCAGTGATCTGGCTGGCTAGAAAAGTCTTTTGGAGTTTGCCGATGACATCGAAACTCTTCAACGCATCTATGGCGGTGTTTCGCCGACAGTGGAATGCAGTCCTGAGTCACATAGGTGTCCCCCACAAGCAAAGTGTACGGGGGGCCACGCCAGGCACCTTGCGGGGCTCAGGCGCTACTCATCTGTACCTTGAAGATGAGGACCTGTCAAAGATCTGCTGGCGCGGCCGATGGGCCAAGATGCGTACCCTGGAATATTACATTCAAGAGGTAGGTGCTCAGCTGTTTCTCCACCAGCTGGTTCCGGAAGTCAAGGCCAACATTGCTTTTCTGAGTTCACATACTGGCACTGTGATGAGAGCTGTGTTTACTGCCTCTGAAGTGTAAATAGATGCCGAAGCATGAGTTTTTCTTTTCTCAGTTTTCTACCGTTTCTACGGTGAATGCTCTACCGTTTCTACGGTGAATGCAAGCAGTATAGAAGGGATGGATTGGGAGTGACATTTTCCTTTTGGTGGCCTTGCAGCTGTACCACCATTTTACAAATGCCACTCAGGGCCATATGGCCAGGTTTCTGGCAACATAGTTGCCACGACAGGGCAGCTTAGTCAAAGGTGCGAGGAAAAGTGAACTGTGGATGCCTGTTATCCAATTTTCACCATGAGAGCACCATGGCTGCAAGATTTCGGCCCTCAATCCACCCACCCGATTGGGAGTGACATTTTCCTTTTGGTGGCCATGCAGCTGTACGACCATTTTACAAATGCCACTCAGGGCCATATGGCCAGGTTTCTGGCAACATAGTTGCCACGACAGGGCAGCTTAGTCAAAGGTGCGAGGAAAAGTGAACTGTGGATATATATATATATATTATACATTTTCTATGACAGTTTGTTAAGAATTATTCCAGGGCATCTCTGCGTCTGCATCTCCAAAACTATGTTGAATTCTGTCTTCTGCTCAGCGCTCGGCAGACCTTGGCGAAACTTTGCTTTTTCGAGAAGGTCGGACTAAAGGCCGTGGAATTCCCTGGAATTGTTGACCACAGGATACCACAGGTTTATAATTCTTATGCATCGGAGCGGTGAGCAAGCAGTGACAGTCTCACCAGGTTTGGGGAGGATCGTGGAAGTGGTGGATGATGGCTACAATCCGTTGCTTCTTGGCTCCAAACTGCTGGACTTCAGATTGCGAGATTGATATTCCATAGTTTTGCCTCAAAGCGGGATCTGTGTGGTTGTTCCTGGCTCATACAATCTATTTGCAAAATTTTGCGAACTGTTTCACTACCATCTTCCGAGTTTTCAATGGGGATAGTCCGACTGCTGAGCTCAGGATGAGAGAGGCTGAGAAGTGAGTCAAGTGAGTGGAGTCGACCGGGTCGACCCAGACATGAGCTGGGCGATGTACAAACACCGCTGAAAGACACTGTCGAATCTGTCGAATCTGTCGAACATGATCGCCACTGGCAATGGGTTTGGACAAGAGAACCTCGTTGCGACAAACGTTGATGCAACGCATGCAGGGTTCGATCAGACATTTGAAGATCTTCTTACATCCAGTGTCGTAGCAAAAGATGCATTGGGCATCATTGGGCTAAGAGATATAGAAACACATCAATTCCAGAAGCTTTGAAGATCAGAGACATAGGGAAGTTCTGTTCTGCATTTGCCCGAGTCAACGATTGTCCGAAGTTCGCAATGGGTCCAAACCGATCACCAGCCCTGGTTCCAGTGTCATACTAGTGCTGCTATAGTGCTCAAAAATCGACGGCAACAGATAGTAGATAGAGGGAAGGACAAATGGGTGTACCTTGTGATCCTGCTATTCTTGGATAAATCATTGTCAAATTGATGATTGGTATTGGTTGGTGTTTTCAGTTGACATTGTAGTTGCTTGTACTTAGATGAAAGCCAGGTGGATTGCAATGACATGTGTGTGGGCGCAAATCCCAAGTCCTTGGAGGAGTGTCCAAGCCTCACCAAAGCAGATTGTTCATTTCTTTTAATGATTTGCGACGAACCTATCTGACCTATCTCTTGCCGTTCTTGTCTCAACTGGTGGGCAGGTCTTCCTTGACCGCCACAACCTCGATCTCAAGTAGAAATGAGGATCCCATGGATTTACAGTCTTTGTAAGTCTTTGTCTTATCAACTACCTTGAACCAAATTGAACCAAATCAAAGACAACAAATAGCAGTCGATTGTGCACAAATTCCTTTTCTCCAGGAAAAACCAACAAGATCTCATAATTATCTATGTACAGTGCCAATCACCCAGAATACACTTGTTGCATCTTGTTGCAAATTTTCAGCCTTCCACCAGAGCCAGACAGCCAGAAATTCAAGACCTGTGACTGAGAGTGGTGCCCCTGCACTATCTTTGTCGAGAGATGTAGGACAGAGAGATACAGAGTTAAAAGGCACAGGCCGCGCTTGCCGCTATTTTGATTGCCTCCTACCTTCGAAGAAGTCCTAAGGTCCTCATAGGTCCTCTATTTTTCTCCCAGAGCAAGTTGATAGACAGAACCGGGAGATCACGAGAGAAGATGGCCTTGATCTCACAAGCTTTCCAATGAGTGCAAATATAGACTTATACAGCACCATTCTTGGTTTACTGTAAATTCTGTTGGATGAAAGTGCCAGGGATTCAGGGCAACAGTGCATCTTTCCAAAAAACGGGTACTGTACAGTTGGTGAGGTACTTTGTGTTTCTTTCTGCAGCACACATGTCCATGAAAGAAGCACCACTGAGACCCTGCCTCTCGATCCTCCATCCTTTGGATTGAACATGTAGAGCTCCTAGTGAAGCGGTGCACAGTGCACAGACACCGACACACACACACAGACACCTGTGCACACGCATTGAATTCATTGAATTGATATAGATCAGATCTGATAAGCGTTATGTACAGGCTGGCAGATGGCTCTAGCAAAGAGCGAGATGAAGTTGCATGGTTGTGCGGGAAGCACCACAAACTTTCTGCCGCAGGTAGTGTTGGTGCGACTCTTCAGCTTCATGGAGAGACATATTTCAATCGTGTTCTGAACTGCAATGCAACTGTGAAAACTACGTATACTATTTAGAGGTTCCGCACAGACGAAATGAGCACAGCTTTCGAGGACTCACAGGTTTCTGCACGGGCTTTACAGTGTTGCCAACGCTGCTTGACTCTACTGGCCCTTGCGCGTCATGAGCTGATTCATGCGTCAAGCATCACAGAATGTTTCATGACGATTGTATTTCCCAACAGCGATAGTGTTGGGTTTCAATCTCTGGGGCCGGGGAGTGGTGCCACGAAATGTACGCCCAGAAAAACCGGAACAGTCCTGGAACCTTGCTGGAACCTTGCTGGAACCTTGCTGAAACCTTCCTGGAACCTTGCTTACAACCTTGCTGGAACCTTGCTGGAACCTTGCTGAAACCTTCCTGGAACCTTGCTGGAACCTTGCTGAAACCTTCCTGGAACCTTGCTGAAACCTTCCTGGAACCTTGCTTACAACCTTGCTGGAACCTTGCTGGAACCTTGCTGAAACCTTCCTGGAACCTTGCTGGAACCTTGCTGAAACCTTCCTGGAACCTTGCTTACAACCTTGCTGGAACCTTGCTGGAACCTTGCTGGAACCTTCCTGGAACAGATTAAGCTCATACATGTTGGATAACACAGTTGGATTGCCAGTCAGACATAGTGACAAATGTATTAGAGATATTAGAGAAATGATGAGAAATGAAATGTTGGAGCTATACCAATCTGCTAAACCTAATGAATAGCATCCACCACTTGAACACCATCCGCCACCTGAAAACATCACCGTGCGTTTTTTAAGTCATAAAGTATGTAAAAACGTACGGTGAGAGACCATTGTTGTGTTGGCATTAGGTCAAAACCAAGTATCTCACTCTTTTATGAACACAATACTGACACCATTTGAATATATTTGAATAGTACGCACGTGCGTGCGAGCGAGAGATGTTTATTTTTTAAAAATAGTATTTAACATATGTGTCCTTTCATATTAGGTGCACTGGTTCTACTGATCCAACACAAACACCTTCGAACACACCATCCAAGTCAATGGCACCAAGTTATGTACCGTCCTATTTACCGTCTTTGGCGCCAAACACTGACTCGAATGCTTTTTCGTACACTTTTTTTTTTCATATGCATTTCTTGTACTGCGGGTGTTATTATTATTATTGTTAAAGTTTCGATTTATACTGTTGTCCTTATCAAACACATATGAAAAACGTTCGATTAACTTGTAATTTTATTAGACGAGTACGATAGAACGGACATCGACCATGTATACGCTAATTTTGCCGTTTGTTTCATTAAAAAGATCATTGTAAATATGGGTGCCATCTCGTAACACCGCTCAATGTAGCTGTCTTTTCGAATATAGTCACTCATGAACTGCTGTTATTGTATTGTATTGTATTCTGAAACATCCAACACGTTTAATAACGCTGCTGTTATTGTATTCTATTGATTATGATCTCTCTCTCTCTCTATATATATAGATACATCCAACACGTTTAATAACAATGGACTGCGACAAATGTGTTCACACGAGTTAGCTGTAACCTTGCTGGAACCTGCTGGAACCTTCCTACCTTCCTGGAACCTTGCTGGAACCTTCCTGGGAACCTTGCTGGAACTTTGCTGGAATCTTACTGGAACCTTGCCGGAACCTTGCTGCAACTTCCCAACAGCAATCCTGTTGGGTTTCAATCTCTGGGGCGGGGAGTGGTGCCAGCAAAATGCATGCTCTGGAAAACCGGAACACTACTGGAACCTTGCTAGAACGTCGTTGGAATATTGCTGGAACAGTGCTGGCAGACTGCTGGAACATGCTGGAACCTGCCTTGTTGGAACCTTGCTGGAAAGTCGCTGAAATCTTGCTGGAACCTTGCTAGAACTGTCCTGGAACCTTCCTGGACTTGGTGAAACCTGGAACCTTGCTGGAAAGTCATTGGAACATTGCTGGAACGAACCCTTGCTGGAATGTGGTGAAGCCTTGCTGGAACCTCGCTGGAACCTTGTTGCTGGAACCCCTGGCTGGAACATTTTGCTGGGAACCAATGCGGGCGTCGATTTCGTTTTTCTTTAACATTGTTTCTTGCTTTGCTTAATGTGCCGGGTTGTGAGGTTGGAAGTCTGGCTTGAAATTTGCTGGAACTGTTTTGCAGCCTTGCTGGAACCGGACAACTTCTGAATTTCTTGTTTTTTTTTTTTTTGGGGGGGGGCAGGCAATTAAAGACGCGGATCCCTTGCGGAAACTGTGAAGGGTTCCAAGTTTTTAAGCTTTGCAGGGTTCCAATATTCCAATGTCTATTGCTCCAGGTTTTTCAGGGTTCCATGGTTCCAGGATTTAATGATACATGAAGCAGCTCTGCACATCAAGCAGAGAAAAATGCAAACTAGTAAATTAGTAAAACAAAACTCAAACTAAATCCGCAAGTTTTGTTGAGGCGTCCGGAAAGGTTACTGCAAAACTTTCTGCAAGGAATTCCTGCAAGGTCTCCAGCAAAGGGTTTCTGCTCTGGAACCCTGTAACCCCGGAACTCTGAAATCTTGGAGCTTTGAAACCATGGAAACCTGCAACCCTGGACCTCCAGAACCCTGGAACTTTCGAGTTTTTGCAAGTCTGGAACCTGCACTGGGAACCCTCAAGCTTTACCTGAAACTTTGAATTTTGGGACTCTTAATATGGATCCCTTGGTCCATGGAATCTTGGAACCAGGAAACTTGGAGTGTTGGAAGCATGTGGCTCTAGGGTCATGGAATGGTGGAACCCCAAACTTGGCCTCTTGCAACCTTAGAGCTTTGCTACCCTGCCTGGAACCTGAGAACCCTGTGAATAACTTTTCTGTGGATCATGCTGCTCACACTGTGTTCTTTAACTAAACTTAAGCAAGTCTATTGTGTTTTGCGTTTGCTTTGCATTGCGCTGGTCATTTCGTTGTTGATGAATCAAACCAAGACCTTGATGTTTGGAACCTTGAACCCTGGAAACTTGGAACCCCAGAACCCTGGTAACCTAGAACTCTGGAACCTTGGAACCTTGGAACTCTCGAAATCTGCAACCTTGCAACCCTGGCAACCTGCAATTGTGGAATCGTGGAACCCTACAAAACCTTGGAACCTTGCCTGATGACATTGCAGCCTTGTAACCCTGGAGCCTGCTGTTGGGCTGCAAAGCTGGGCTACTTTCCTGAAGCTTTTGTCATAGTCATAGGATGTTATATATATATATATATCTCTATATATATATATATATCAATATATATATATATACATGTTATAATGTTATAATGTTATAGAATATATATATATAGGTTTTAGATAAGATCGAGGACCGTTCAGTGTCCCACGAGATCAGTTGAATTCTGCCGGTCTGCACTGAAGCCGTTCTTGTGAATCAGTGTAATCGAACAGCTTTGTGCTGAATAGAACACCACACGTTAATGATACGGTGATACATGCGCGGCCGTAGCAACAGCTTC